ACCCTTGAAAACTTTTTTTTTTCTTTTAAACAGATGTCTTGCCACATTTCCCCCTGAACCTCAAGGTTTGGTAGATGTAGTCAGGGCTGCCATTAGAAATCCCAGAGCCCCTTAAAAAAAAAAATATTGGCCGGTGTCCCTCACATAGATACACACTTCTTTCCACACATACAGATATACACACATAAACAGCTATACACACACATTTTCAGAAAACACACATACGTTGCTAGTCTCAAACATACAGTGTCATGCACACAGACACACACACACACATGGTCTCAGGTACACAATGTAAGAAACACACACACAGATTCCCACTGTCAGACACAAATGCCACATACACAGAGTCAAACAGACATACAGTTAGAGTTGCTCTATAATGACTCTTATAACAAGCATGTCAAACTCGTGGGCCGCCAAGCCGCGAGTGCATGCTCAGTGTTATAGCAGAGTAGGTAGCATTCACCACATTGCAGGTGCCTACTCTGCTAAAACTTACCCAGCCGGGGAGGAGGGCCAGCGAGGGAGCTCAGTGTTCCTGCTCCTCACTGCCAGTGAGTGTGTGTGTGTGTGTGCCTGTCAGTGAGTATGTGTCTGTGTGTCTTTTCAAATAATTTTTATTAAAGTTTTTTGTATAACAAATGATAATAATACAAACATTGTATTAGGGGTAGGAAAGGAGGGGTAACTTGGAAATGGGAAGGGGTATCCATCCATCAATGAAATAAACATATTAAAGTATATGGCAAAAAGAAAAATGTTTTACAACAATGCACTTTAACAATAAATATATCAAAGACCATAAACTGTTTTGATTTTTTCTTCCCATTTATCCCAGTTATATTTTAGTATTGGGAAACCATGCATATTGGCTCTGTGTGATAATTCATGTGCCTTATTTTCTAAAATCAAATTAAAAACTTCTCTAAGAGATGGCACATTTTGAGACTTCCAATGTCTAGATAAACAGGATGTAGCAGCGATCAGAATGTGGCGTATGATTATTTTATCTGATCTATTAACGGACTCCGGGAGTTTTTTAAATAAGGCTAGTTCAGAGGTTAAGATACTAATGGTTCCGTTCACTTTAATAATCAGATCGTGGATCATTTTCCAATAATTAATTAACTTGGGGCAGAACCACCAGATATGGGCCATATTGCCCACTCCCCCACAGTCTCTCCAACACCGGTCAGAATACATATTGTTCATGTTATGTAATCTAGACGGAGCCAGGTACCAGCGATATAAGATTTTATAATGATTTTCAAAATGGTCGGTGCAATATGAAATACCTTTTAAACCTTTAAAGAAACCGAACCATTCTTCTAAATCGTACTGGGCACCCAACTCCGTCTCCCATGACAGCATATGTTTTAATTTAATTAAGGGCTTGGCATTATGAGATAAGTAACATAAGGATATCATACCTTTACTAGCGGGGCTGTATAAAAAAACTTTCTCTAAAGGAGATAACTCAAGTGATTTATAGTTTTTATCTGTTTCAGGTACCTGGTATAGTTCTTTCAATTTATCAATGATTAGCATACATTCCAGTTCACATACATTTGACAATCCATACTTAAGCTTCAATTTTTCCAAAGAAAGAATAGCATTGCCATAAAAAAAATTGTCCAGACTAGTTATAGAGCAATCCTTCAATAACTCTATTTTTAAGGATGGTATATAATCTTTCAATAACTCAATAGGCATTGCTCTATATAAACTGGGAGACTGGTCATTTTTAAAAACAATGTCCCAGGCCAAAAAAGTTTTGGATGTGAAGCCAGAAGCTGAGACATGGGCGGAGGGTGCGCAATATAACGCCTTAATTGCTGTGATAAAGGATGATGGTATGTTGAACCTGTCTAATGTTCTCCATAAATATCCCCAATGTATCCTGTCAAACGCCTTTTCTGCATCTAGAGAAAGAAGCAAAGAAGGCGTTTTGGTCATATTGATGTGCTGAATCAAGTTTATGAATCTGTGTCTGTGTGTGTGTCTGTCAGTATGTGTGTGTGTGTCTGTCTGTGAGTGTCTGTCAGTGAGTGAGTGTTTGTGTCTGTCAGTGAGTGTGTGCATCTGTGTGTGTATCTGGCGGTGAGTGTCTGTCAGTGAGTGTGTCTTTGTGTGTCTGTCAGTGTCTGTATGTGTCTGTCAGTGAGTGTCTGTCAGTGATTGTGTCTGTCAGTGAGTGTGTGTGCGCGTGTGTGTTGGTCAGTGTTGCATTGGCTGCAACTGGACTGTGAAGTACCTGGAGGTGCATGGAGGCACGCAACACCACGTCACATTCCGATGTGACATCGACATGCTCAACCTTCACAGGGTTTCAAGACGTAGCGGGAGGATCAGATTTGGCACAGGGTGCAGACGGCACCATTTGGGGTATACCAGAGGCCGGACTCCGGATACTCGCATACTGGCAGCGGCAATGTGAGTGGTGTCTGCTTGTTGGCTAGAGGGGGTACTGGTATTTAGTATATGGGGGGGATTGGGATTTAGTAGAGGGTGGACTGGGATTTAGTAGAGGGGGTGCTGTGGTTTAGTAGAGGGGTAACTGGGGTTTTTATACTGTACTTTTCAAAATAAACCTTTGTTTCTATGAAAATTTAAGGTTTGGAGTTTTTTTGCGGCCCACATAGACTTAAACCTTTTTTATGCGGCCAGTGCTAGACTTTGAGTTTGACATGCTTGCTCTATAATATATCACATCCTCCAGTGCTGTCACCTGTGAGGGAGTTTTTCAGGCTCCCCTATACTAAAGGGCCCCTCTGATCCTGCTAGCCAATGCAGTCTGGTTCAGGGATATATATCTATCTCCTCAACCGGACCAATAAGTGCTACGGGGCTCCATGCAGGTCCCTGAGCTGGTACTGCCTGCCCTCCATGATGGAAGCTCTGAGTGTAATATGGGGAGGAGTGATTTGTTGGTCCACACTTTGGGGTTATGCAGGACAAATGTCAGTTCTGAAAAGTGGTACAAACATGAAAAAAACTGCGTAATCACAAATACAATGTGTCTGTTGGATCCATTGGATTCCATGGTGACTGGCCCACTTTTAGTACTTTAGACCACTTTTCAGAACACAACACTTTGTTTAAATAACCCCTAATCTGTCTGTTTTTCTTTTGTTGAACTACTTATTTTATGCATCGATACATAAATTTTGGCAACCATGTAAAAATTTAAAAAAGATTAATAGTTCTGAACTTTTTATTTTTGCTATTACAATTCCCATCAGCTTCAGTCAAGACTGTTGGCCAAGTGACACAGTTCCTCTGTAATGTCTTTAACTCCAAATTATGTCTCTGTTTGCAAAACCATTCCTTGTCGGCCGTCACCTCCTGTACTTATATCGCAAGCAGAAGATATTTACACCTTGGCAGCTATTACTCAGCTGATCATTCATGCTATGAGGAACTGGTAGAAAATAGCGCACTGATTAGTAAACTCGTAATTACTTTCCTTGTAGAATAGAAGCTGGCAGTGATGATACATGGAATTAAGCCATGATATTCTGCCAAGATCTGGTCAGATACAAGGAAGAGGCGCACTATCTGTCAGATATATAAAACATGGTTGCATCCAATTGTCTGGCTCAGAGTTTAGTCTGCCTCACTGCTTTTGCAGCTATTGAAATCACTCACTAATAGAAATCATAACCTATGTCATCAGCAGAAAATGTGTTGTCTTTTTTATGGTCTGAAATTTGCACATCCGCTATGGGAAGAGGTAGCTGATCACTGTCAATCTAAATTGAGATGGAACACAATAAAAAAAATATTTTAACTGTGATTTCTGGGTCAATGCATCTACATAGAAACAGCTATAAAAAATCCGTAGAGGCTTAATATGTTTAGGATTTGATTTAAGCTACAAGACAAACATGTAGTTGTAACCAGACAAGTTGGACACACAGGAACAGAGGGGTTGAGGGCCCTGCTCAATGAGCTTACATGCTAGAGGGAGTGGGGTAAAGTGACACAAAAGGTAAGGAGAGTATTAGACTAATGACAGTTGCAAGAGAGGAATCAGTCAGGAGCTATTAACAGTTTAATTGATATGCTTTTATGAAGAAGTGTTTTTTTGTTTTTTTTTATTGTCAAGATTTTGGTATACATAACAATAGTTAATGGAAATACCAACAAGGAGTGCAGGATTTGAAGTGGTACAGTTAACAATAACACAACATGGAAAATTCACGTTAACAGAAGGTGCTCCCGATGTTCCCTCTAAGTCTATGTCCCCCTCCTATGTGTTATAGTGGCCTATTTGAGGTGTGGGTGAGTTCCCAGGTGTATGGGTGATTTAAGTGAATTCTGTCTCCTCTGGTACACACGTCTGGAATCCCCCTATCTGTGCAACTTGTCCCTGATTAGTAATGTGTAAATTACACATCTGGGTACGGGGCCTACTTTAAGTCTTTCTAAGTAAGGTATGGGATCGGGTGGAGAGTGAAATATCGAAAAGGGGCCCGCTGGATCTGGAAGTGTGTGTGTATGGATTTAGAAGAAGTCGGTAAGCCGATCATGGCTCTCTATGGTGGGATTGACTGTTGGATTGTGTGGATATCCACCGTTCCCATAGGGCCCAACCTTCCATCTTTTTGTGAGGTCTCAAGGAGTTGGTGTGGGACATTTTCTCATATTGTCCATTGGTAGTGACTAGTGTAGTGATGTCTAACAAGCTAGGCAGTGTGGGTGATTTCCAGTTCCTAGCAATGAGCAGGTTTGCTGAGATTAGGATGTGGAAGACTAAGGTTCTTTGCGCAAGAGTTAGTGTTTTGGGCAACATGAACAGTACGAATGTCTCAATGGAACGAGGTATGGGTATATTCACTACTTCCATTAGCAAAGTGGCTACCATGTCCCAATAGGGTTGTATGGCCGGGCATTTCCACCAGACATGTGTCATGGTGCCTCCTTTCTCTCCGCACCTCCAACACGTGTCTTTTATGGTTTTGTATAATCTTGCTAATTTCGCAGGAACCAGATACCATCTCGTTAAAATCTTTCTAAGCAGTTCGATGTGGGATACACAGTGGGTGAGGGATTTATGTGCGCTAAAGGCTGTAAGCCATTTTTCCTTTGGAATTGTGTATTCCAGCTCCCTTTCCCATGCAGATGTATAAGACGGTAAAGACGTCTTGTTGGCTGACAACAACGAGTCATAGCATAGTGATATTAATCTTCTTTTGGGTAATTGGCCTGTGCACATTTTCTCAATGAGTGTCATGTTGTGGTGTTGGTTTACATTCCCTGTGGGTTTGAGTTGTGTGTGGCGGGTGCGCGCTTGAATTTGCAAGTAAGAAAGGTACAACCCTGTAGGGATATCGTGTTTCAGGCACAGTTGCGCGAATTGGGACATTGAGTCTCCTGACCATAGGTGGTGTAAGTGCGTGAGGCCATGACTTTCCCAGCTATTGCTGTTGAAGGTTGGAACTAAATAATGAAAACATCTAAGCGGCGTGGCTAGGGAGATCGGTAGTCTGGAGAGGAAGGAATGTTTATGATTGCCCCAGATTTTTAGCATCACCGCTGTCATGGGTAATAGGCTACTAACTTTAGGGCGAGAGGGCTTTGGAATCCAAAGAAGGAGGTGAATCCCTTCAGGGAGGGACCAGTGAGATTCAATATCTGCCCATGGAGGGCCTTTGTTGCCATCCTGTGTGGTTATTGCGTGCATAAGTATAGTGGCTTTGTAGTATGCGGGAATGTCCGGGCAGCCCATCCTGCACTCCTTGTTGGTATTTCCATTAACTATTGTTATGTATACCAAAATCTTGACAATAAAAAAAACAAAAAAACACTTCTTCATAAAAGCATATCAATTAAACTGTTAATAGCTCCTGACTGATTCCTCTCTTGCAACTGTCATTAGTCTAATACTCTCCTTACCTTTTGTGTCACTTTACCCCACTCCCTCTAGCATGTAAGCTCATTGAGCAGGGCCCTCAACCCCTCTGTTCCTGTGTGTCCAACTTGTCTGGTTACAACTACATGTTTGTCTTGTAGCTTAAATCAAATCCTAAACATATTAAGCCTCTACGGATTTTTTATAGCTGTTTCTATGTAGATGCATTGAAGAGCTTGGTGGAGTTTTTTGTGATTACGACCCCTAGGTAGGAGACATGGTCTGACCTCCAGTCTAGGTCAAATTGTTGTTTTAATGTTTGTATCTGTGCCTGGGTTAGGTTAATAGGCAGCGCCTGCGTTTTAGTCTTATTCAACTTGTAATAGGAGATTCTGCCATATTTTTCTATTAGATCCATAAGGACTGGGAGAGAAGACTCTGGTTCTGTAATGGTTAGCAGCACGTCGTCTGCAAACAGACTAAGTTTGTGCTCGGTCGTACCTATCTGTACTCCCCCAATAACCCTCCTTGATCTAATTTGGGTTGCCAGTGGTTTGAGCGCTAGGACATAAAGGAGGGGAGAGAGGTAGCACCCTTGGCGTGTGCCATTAGTGATGGAGAATCCTTCTGACATAAAACCGCCGTATAACACTTGTGCAGTTGGATGGCTGTATAATGCTCTTACCGCTGCCACAAACTGGGCCGGAAACCCGTATCTTTCCAATGTGGCCTCCATATAATTCCAGCTCAGCCGAGCGAAAGCTTTCTCAGCATCCAACGAAAGCAGGAGACCCCTCTCGCCCCTCCGTCTCATTGATTCCAATATATCCAGCACTCATCTGGTGTTGTCAGTGCCCTGCCTACCTTTCACAAATCCCGACTGGTCCGGGTGTACGAGAGCTGTCAGGGCCACTGCCATCCTGTTTGCCAAGACCTTAGCGAACAATTTGGCGTCTGAATTTAAGAGGGAAATAGGGCGGAAATTTTTACATCTGGTTTAGGTAGGGTTATAATGGTAGCTCTCAACATTTCTTGGGGCAATCGTGCGAGGTGGATTGCGTCATTGAAGATGGATTGGAGGTGAGGGGTTAAGATTGAGCTGAAGGTTTTATAGTAACTGTTTGGTAGGCCATCAGGGCCAGGCGTTTTATGGGCTGGTAATTGTGCTATGGCCTGTTCTATCTCTTCTTTAGATATTGGGTTCGTTAGGGCTTCTTTTTGAGGCTCAGATAGGGTAGTTGTTTGTATGCTTGAGAGGAAGTCTTTGGCTTCATCCAGAGTAGCGTGGTGTAGAGAAACATCTTCTGAGAGGTTATAGAGGGATTCATAAAATTTGGCAAAAGTATTACCTATTTCTAGTGGTGAGATAAGTTTGTTGTCTTGGTCGTTGAGGATGTAAGGGATCCTAGACTTAGCTTGTGCGCTTTTAATCATGTTTGCTAACAATTTTCCTGCTCTATTGCCTTGAGAATACTGTACTTGCCTAAGTTTATGCAAGAGACGGCCAGTTTTTGTGACATGGGCTTCTCGTATTCGTGATTGAAGGAGGGTGATTTCCTCCTTGACTCTGCTGGAGGGCCTCTGTACATTCTCTCTGTTAAGGTCGTTCAATTTTCCCAAACTCGCATCTGCCTTTCTGATGAACGTTTAAGGTGTGATGCCTGTTTGATGAACAGGCCTCTTACCACTGCCTTGAGGGCCAACCATAATGTGTATTTTGACATGTCGGGAGTCGAGTTTGTGGTGAAATATTGTGTGAGCTGCGTGGACACGTAATTTACGAACAATGGATTACGTACTAAGGTTTCGTTAAGTCGCCAAGGGGGTTTATGTTTGAAGGCGAATTTGTCTGTCAGTGTCAGTATTACGGGGGCATGGTCTGACCACGTCATTTTCTCAATGGCGCAGTATTGTATCTGATTAAAGTGTGGACCACTGATGTAGAACCTATAGATTCGCGTATAGCAATTGTGCACCGTGGAAAAATAAGTGTATTGTTTACCAGAGGGATATAAGGTTCTCCATACATCATATAGGTTGTAAGTAGTGAGTGTGGAGGCTAAGCGTTTGGCATCTCGTTGGAGTTGGGCCTCCCGAGCGGGAGATTTGGGGGAGGTGGTGTCTAAGGTATGGTCTGACACGCAATTGAAATCACCTCCTATAATCAGTATCCCTTCCCGAACTTTGTCTATTTTTTACAGTACTCGGTTGAGAAAGTGGATCTGTCTCTCATTAGGGGTGTAGAGGTTGGCTATAGTGTATGTTTGCTCATTGATTTTTGCCACTTTGATCAGGTATCTACCATGGGTGTCACCTATTTTCCTGAGCAGGGAAAAGGATAGTTGGTTACTAAAGAGAGTTGATACTCCCTTGGATTTGGTGTCTGCGGTGGCGTGAAATTGGTGTGGGTATTGACGCGCCTGAAGCCTCAGGTGATCAGAGCGTTTGAAGTGTGTCTCTTGAAGACACAGTATGTCTCCCTGTAACGTTGATACCTCTCTGTAGAGAGCTTGACGTTTCGCTGGGGAGTTCAGCCCCTTAACATTATATGAGATTACCCTCATTATGAAATAGTTTTAGGACGTGCGGGTATCTACCGCGTGGGTGATCCAGTTATGGGATTGTGGTGGGGTGCCTTACTTGGTGTGAGGTGGGGACAGGGACAGGGAAGGGGGAGGAAAGGAAGGGGGACCCAGTAGAACAACAAGTACCCCTCTGGTTATACCTTGTGGGGTTAACCAATCCCACCCGCCGGCGAGCTGTAGATTGTATCTGCCAGTTCAGATGGAATTTGGCACACGAGGAGTGTCCAGTAAGTGTCCCGGCTGTGAGAGATCGAGGTCTGACAAAGCATCTCCCCCTCCCCCGTCCCCGTATGGGTCCTTGCTGGATCCCAGTTCCCCGGTACCTGAGGGCAGAGAACAAGAAACACCGGAGTGCAGGTGTGGTCAAGATAGTCCAACACTTATGCGGGACTGCACCCATGGAACGTGATGTACTTCTGCCTGGTGGGTGAAGAGGCTTCCCATGGGTTGAGGTTGTGGGAAACGGGTATGTTTTGATTGTCCCGATTGCAGGTGCTGGTGGGGGGGGGGGTGGGTTTACCTCGGCATTGTGCTCGAACTGGATATCTGCGGGTGGGCTCAGAAGTGTGAGCAGTGGCTCCGGTTGATAGTCCCCTGGGTCAGTGTGCCAACTGTGGGGTCTCCCTGTTGTAGATGCTAGAAGTAGTGATGAGGTAGATTCAGCTGGGGATATGTTCCATCCGTGAAGTAGCTGCAGGCCTTCATCTGGTGTAAAGAGGACCGTGGTTTGCCCATTTCTTGACACCAGCAACTTTGTGGGGAAACCCCAGCGGTATGTTATTTGCTGGTTACGCAGCACTCCTGTTGTACCCCCAAACTCACGCCTCTGAGCCAGTGTTGCAGGCGACACGTCTGCGAATATGTGTATATTTCGAAATTTTTCCGCCCTGTTGTTGATATTACGGCTTGCTTTAATGATTTCTTCTTTGATATGGTGATAATGGGCTCTCAAGAGCACATCTCTGGGCGCTGATGGCAGCGCTGTTCTAGCTTTCGCCACTCTATGGATTCTATCTAGAAGAAACATTTCTGAGGGTATGTCAGGACACAGGTGGCGAAATAGATCTGTGACGTAGGCATGCAGGTCACCTACCTGTACCGTCTCTGGAATTCCCCGCAGTCGTAGATTGTTCCGGCGGGAACGGTCTTCCAGGTCTGTAAGTTTAGCCTCGTGTGCGTTAATTCTTGTTTCAATGTGATGAAGTTGAGTTGAGAGTGATTCTTGTGCAGCAGCTTGTTCTGCTGATTTACTTTCCAGGGTTGTCGTTCTGGATGTGATTTCATGTATGTCTTTCTGCATACCCGCTATGGCATCTTGAAATTGGGCTATTAGCTGTGCAGATTGTGCATCTAACATAGCTTGTAGCTTGGATTCAGTCAGCAGGCTGGCCTGGTGATTCTGGCCTTGGTGTGGGATGCAGGAATCACGGCTGTCTTCCGAGTCCTGGGCGCCATCTTCCTCGAGGCCTTCACCTGGGCTCAGAGTTCCCGTTAGTTTTTTGGCTGCGAAGAACGCTGTTTTGTCCGGTTTTTGCTTTGTTTTGTGGTGGGACATGATGGAGAAGGATTGTCTCGATCGTTGTGTCGGGTTTGGTGCCGATGGTGTCGAGTTAGGGCTGTTGTTATGTCCGCCAGTGGAAGGAGCTGGGCAGTTAAGCGGCCATTTTCCACGGCGTTCAGCTCCGCCCCCCCAAGAAGTGGGTTTTTAATGATTTTTTGAAGGAGTGGAGACTGGGTGAGCATCTAACGGAGGAGGGAAGTGAGTTCAACAGGAACGATGCAGCCCTCGAGAAGTCTTGAAGGCGAGCATCAGAGGTGGGAGTACGGACAGAAGATAGACGTACGTCGTCAGCAGAGCGTAAAGGCCTAGACGGGACATACTTGTGTATTAGGGAGGATGGATAGGTGGGAGCAGCATTATGTAGAGATTTGAAAGCAAGAAACAGAATTTTAAATTGAGCCCGCCCTATATCTTACAGGAAGCCAATGTAGGGACTGACAGAAGGGTGAGGCGTGGGAGGTGCAGGCGGACAGGAATGTGTCCGCCCTAATTTCTAATTCCTACCCTAATTTCATCTGTACATCTAGGCAATGTCTACATATAGTGTTTTAGACCAAGTCTGAAGGATAAAGAAAAAGAAAAAAAAAAGAAAATCTTAAAGACTCGACATCGATCCGGAAGATCTACCACTGTATATTTGCTTTGTTATTTGTCCAGGGGAACCATAATTTTTCTTAGGAGGTTTGTATTCTGGCACTGGAGATAAAATTGTGTTCCATTTTATATTGGAATTCTATTTGGGTCATAATCTCCTGCCATGAAATAGGAGATGGACTTTTCCAAGCCCTTGCTATACATATTTTAATTGCAAAAAATATATGCGTGAGAAGATATTTTTGACTCCTATCTTGGAATGGAAAATCTATATTAAAAAAAAACCAAAAACAATTGGGGGCAAATTTCCTTTATTTCCGGAAATAAAGAAATTATAAAAATATGCATTTGAGTTTTGATATTCTTTAGCCCTGTACAATCCCACCAAACGCGGTACATAGATCCAGCCTCCATCCCACATCTCCAGCATATGTTGGAGTATTCAGATGAGATTTTATGGAGTCTTGCTGGGACCATGTAACACCTATAAATTATTTTCAAATGTAGTTATTACAGTGATACGCTATGGATAAAACGCTTCATCAGTAATGTAGTTTTGGTCCAATCTGAAAGACGGAAAGTCTTCCCGAGATCAGATTCCCATTTCATAAATGGGGCTATTTGGGACTCTTGTTCCATAGATTCTAATAGTTTAGTGGATCTAGAGATAATATAGTAGTTTTGATATAAGAACGCCTAAATTCATATTTACCTATCCAAGAGGTCTCTAGCTTTTTGCAGTTATCTACATATAATTGGAATTGTTTTTATAAAATATTATAATTGGTTTGTATCAAATTCTCAATATCAAAAGAGATGTTAATTCCCAAGTAATCAATATTATTTTCCTTCCAAAAAAAAGTGGTATCGTGACATTAAATGTTCTTCTTGAGCCATCGATAAAAAAGCTTTTTAACGCTTTTAAAGGTTAACCCCTAGCTAGCCTAACACCGAATTCCACAATTCCCCACTAACTTCCACCCACCGCAGCTATCTAAATATATAAATTTAAAATATTTAAATTAATTAATCAAATAAATTTAACCCCTGAGGGTTAAAAAAATATAAAACGTAACCCTAATGGGTTCAAAAAAATCAGATCACAGTAGAATGTAGTCCCTGCCAATTGATCACTCTAGTCAGTGATCAATTGGCAGGGAAAGGGTTAATTTTATTAAAGCAGGGGAAAGGGGAGTTGGGATTTAACTTTAATTTTTTTTTTTTTTACAGGGTGAAGAGGATCATCACTGATCCATCTCCCTGCACGTCACACCGAACGCAGAAGAGCAGGTAGGCAGATGAAAAGTCCCTGCAGCACATGTGCTCACTCTGACAGCCTGTTAGAGCGATCACAGCTGCAGGGACAGCGCGATCGGGTGTGTTAAACTCGTGATCGCTGAGATCTGGGGTTAATTTTAGAGCATGACGGACCCAGTCTGTCATGCGTTGTTAAGTGCTTCCCCAGCATGACGGACTGGTACCGTCATGCGTCTTTAAGGGGTTGAAGGGACACTATAGTCACCAAAACAACTTTAGCTTAATGAAGCAGTTTTGGTGTATAGAACATGCCTCTGCAGTCTCACTGCTCAAAGCCATTTAGGAGTTTAATCACTTTGTTTATGCAGCCCTAGTCACACCTGTTTTACATGCAGAGCCTTCCTAAACACTTCCTATAAAGTAAGAGCTAATCTTTACACTTCCTTTACTGCAAAATCTGTTTCATTTAGAATTCATTATCTCCTGCACTGTTAATAGCTTGCTCGACCTTGCAGGAGCCTTCTGTGTGTGATTCATTTACGGAGCCAGATATAAAAAAAAACCTCTAAAGCAAGTTAACCCGTTGTACGGTGCTACGGAATTTGATGGGCTATATAAATAATAAAAAATAATAAAATTTGCTTGAAAATGAAACCACTTTATTTATACAGGCTGTGTCAGTCACAGCCAGGGGAGGTGTGGCTAGGGTTGCATGGACAGAAACCAAAGTGATTTACCGTATTTTTCGCTCCATAAGACGCACCTCACCATAAGACGCACCTAGTTTTTAGAGGAGGAAACCCAGAAAAAAAAATATTCTGAACAAACTGTTCCATAGTGTTTCTTACCATGGGACAGCTTGTTCAGAATATTTTTTTTTCTCCCCTGTCCCATAATGATCTTTAACCCCCCTTTCCTCTGTCCCATAGTGATTGTTAACCCCTCCTACCCTGTCCCATAGTGATTGTTAACCCCTCCTACCCTGTCCCATAGTGTTCTTTAACTCCTCCTCCCCTTGTCCATTAGTGTTCTGATCCCATAGTGTCCCTCCCTGCCCTTGTCCCATAGTGTCTCCTCCCCTCCCCTTGTCCCATAGTGTCTCCTCCCCTTGTCCCATAGTGTCTCCCCTCCCCTTCTCCCATAGTGTCTCCCCTCCCTTTCTCCCATAGTGTCCCCCTCCCCTTGTCCCATAGTGTCTCCTCCCCTCCCTTTCTCCCATAGTGTCCCCCTCCCCTTGTCCCATAGTGTCTCCTCCCCTCCCCTTGTCCCATAGTGTCTCCCCGTCCCATTGTCCCATAATTACTTACCTGTCTTGGAGCGTGGGCCGGCTTCACAGCGCGCTCCGCGGTCCAGGAACTAATATTTCAGGTTCCGGTTTCCGGCGGGACTGAAAGGAAGTGTGCACACTCAGTGTGCACACTTCCTTTCAGTCCCGCCGGAAACCGGAACCTGAAATAGAAGTTCCTGGACCGCGGAGCGCGCTGTGAAGCCGGCCCACGCTCCAAGACAGGTAAGTAATTCTATACATTCGCTCCATAAGACGCACAGACATTTCCCCTCACTTTTGAGGGGGAAAAAAGTGCGTCTTATGGAGCGAAAAATACGGTAACTACTAAATGTCAGGGAATTTAGTAGTATGACTGCAGGGGCATGATCTATACACTAAAACTGCTGTATTAAGCTAAAGTTGTTTCGGTGCATATAGTGTCCCTTTAAGGTTGCCATATATACCGTGGTTTTAAAGGCATATATAATTTTTCAACTAGATGAACAACAAATGAAAAGTGCTGTCCTGTTATGTGCAATGCTTTCCAAGTGCTGCCTAGCAATATACATAAATGATGTGGGACCAGAAAAGTATGGCAGATTTGGCACTATATTTGTTCAGGAGTCAGAGATGAAAACTTTATTGCAAGTAAAACGTAATACCAAACAACAGACAAGTTTGAACGTACTTACTTAACAACACAAGATGTACACTATGTAGGACCAACATCAGCATTGTGGTGAATGGTAAATATGTAAACAGGGCTGGATTTCCCATTATGCAGAGGAGGTACCTGTCTACTGGTACATGCCTGATAGGGGGCTTTTTAACAAGCAGAGTAGGCCCCCCAACCCAGGGCCGGATTAACATAGGGGCTGATAGAGCTGCAGCTCTAGGCCCAGGCCCAGGCCCATGGAATAGGCCCATTTAAAAAAAATAAAAAATAAAAATATTTTTACACACTACTCTTAGGTCAACCTGACTGGTATTTTAAGGCACAGCTGATATTTAAGGCTGCCTAGTCGTGACGGTATTGCTGTAATACCGGCAATACAAATGCAAATATTTTTCTCAGTATAAACGGAGATTACTCTGCAATACCAGCACCGGCCAGTAGGGATCACTGTGTTTGGAGAGAGGCAGGGATAGGAAGTTACAGCATCTCCCTGCCTCTCTCTACTCACTGATCCACGGGGGAGCAGCTCCACAGCACAGAGAGTCCAGACAGCTGAGACACATGGGTATGCTGTGAGACATAGGCGGACACATATATCTAGGGACACAGTATCTCCATGTCTCACAGTGTCCCTAGTGTCTCAGTGTCCCTATGGCTCCCAGTGTCCCCATGTCTCCCAGCCAGTGTCCCTAGTGTCTCAGTGTCCCCATTTCTCTAGTGTCCCCATGTCTCCCAGTGCCTCCCAACCAGTGTCCCCATGTCTCCCAGCCAGTGTCCCTAGTGTCTCAGTGTCCCCATGTCTCCCAGTGTCTGTGTCCCCATGTCTCCGTGTCTCTAGTGCCCTCATGTCTCCCAGTGTCTCCCAGCCAGTGTCCCCATGTGTCCCAGTGTCACTAGTCTCCCAGTGTCTGTGTTCCCATGTCTCTCAGTGTCCTTAGTGTCTTAGTTTCCCCAAATGTCTGAATCCCCATATCTCCCAGTGTCTGTGACCCCATTTCTCCCAGTGTTCCCAAATGTCTCAGTGTCCCCATGAATTCCAGTGTCCCCATGTCTGTATCCACAAGTGCCCCCATGTCTCCCAATGTCCCCATGTCTCCCAGTGTCCCCAAGTCTCTCAGTGTCCCCATGTCTGACTGTGTCCCCATGTCTCTCAGTGTCCCCTAGTATCCTAGTGACACAGGACATACTAAGACATAGGGACACTGGGAGAAATGGGGACAGACACTGGGAGACTAGGGGACTGGGTGACATGGGGACACTGACACTGTGATACATAGGGATACTGATGCCAGGCTGGCCTTCCAATTCTTTGTACAGACATGCCCCCTTTTTGGGCACGTTCGCCCCTTTTGTCAGTTCTGGTCACGTGATTCATGTCAGTGGCCCACCCTTTTACCCCATCCATTAACTTCCTGCTTCACTGGACACTGCTGTTAGAGGGTATGGATTTACTTGAAAGATGAAAGCATAAATTAGAGAGAGATTAGCACAGAGTATGTGTTTTCTTATAGTTGCATCCTTTGAGTTTCCCTCCAACACCAAATCCATCAGATACATGGCGCTTGAGAAGTATGACAGTTTTAGTGTTTTTGGTCGATAAATTCTGTAATTAGGCCCCATCCTAATTGTCAGCACCAGGCCCACTGTGATCTTAATCTGGCCCTGCCCCAACCTACCTCTTGCCCGGCATCTGATGTTTGCTGACTGAAACAGAGCCTGTTGTTCTCTGGGATAGCTGTATTCAGTCTAATGAAACCTGATCTGTGCATGGCCACGCCACCAGACTGAACACAATGATCTGTGCATGGCCCCATCCCCTCAGTATACACACAGCTATCTTCTGCATGGCCCCTCTCAGTCTATAAACAGGGATGTGACGAAAGCACCTTCATCCCTGGGATTTGGAGAGGCCTGCTTGCCAGCCTCTTGCCCTGTGACTATAGCCCCTGGGGTGTATTTCCCTTTAAGAACACTATTTGGGCATATGCCCCTTTAAACTTTTAAAGTGGTCAAAGGGGAATTTCGAACCACCGAACAGCCTGCCACACAGAAGTGGAGTGTGCAGCTCATTTACCTCCCAGGTTGGGAGTTAACCGCAGCCAAATTGACGAACGGATGGGTGGCCGCCGTTCGTATAGTCGAACATGTGGCGGCGGCCATCTTGTTTAGTCGAATGCGTTCAGCGGTGAACTTTAGCTTCTCTGGAACTTCCACTCTTCGACGGGAGTCGAACAGCGTTCGACAATACGAACGACACTTTAACTTTGACTAGGTGCACAAACGGTTGCCGTTCGGCTATTTGAACTGAACTTAGACATTGAAAATGAAACTCTTTAACTCCAGGGCGATTCGACTATGCTCGTGGGATCTGAGCGCTGTTCGGATATATTGAGCACTCAGATCCAAGCTATCTGGGGATATGTCAAATGTGGGGGATCAGTTATGTGAAACGCAAGTTATGTATTTTAATGTGTTTTGTTGCAAGAGATCATCTTCTACCTTCATGAGGTTTCGGCTCATGTATGGGGGATTGGAGAACTCTCTGGTAAGAGCTTGTTCCTGTTCCTGCTCTCTGGATTTAAGAGAGGCTACCTACTGGAAGCAGGACCCTGGTCTTGGGTCCAGAGTGGGTGGAAGACGCGAGACCTCAACCAAGTGGCGGCGGTTCATGGGGTCTGCAGTGGTTATGGTGTCTGGTGGAGTGCTTGGAGCCCTCGGGAAGTACTAGAAGAATCCATAAAATGGAGGTACCCAGTCGGGGTGCCGGGTGATCAGTTACAAGGGATATCCAGAAATGACTGGTACACATACAACTATAAAATATGTCTACCCACACTGTATATAGACACACTCTCTGCAAACCAAGCCTGTCAAACTCAAAGGGTAACACAGGCCAAATAAACAAGGTTTAAGTTCATGTGGGCCGCAAAAAAACCCCAAAACATGCATTTTCATAGAAACTTAGGTTTCTTTACAAAAGTACAGTATAAATAAAGTTGCCTAACTGACACTGTACGTCCTCACTCTCGAATGGCTTCAAAGAGCGAATTTATTTGAAGGAGATGTGCATTTGCATGTAACCAAGGTTTCAGTCCGACTACCTTGACATATTAAGAAAAGTTTGGTAATGGGACTGAAATGGTGAATGTATGCTTTTGCACAGCTGTAAAAAACAAATGACGTAGTCTTATTGATTTTGAAGTCCTATGAGTGTTTTCCTCACTTTGGCTGTGATGATCAAACTTGATGATCTCAGCCAATCCAATTCTTTCCTCAGGAAAGCTTTGGGAGGCTGCTGTCCATATGTTGCAAAAAACTGCGTGGCCAATCAGCATCTCCATGGGGAGCTTTCAGCAGCCTCCATGCAGACTCAATCTGAGGCAAACAGCACAAGTTCAGTACATTGCTCCCAAATCCAATACACTGCCCCCACTCCCACCACTCTAATTTAATACACTGCCCTCCATCCCCCCAATTTAATACACTACCCCCTCCCTCCCATGGGCCGCAAATATATTCATTGTGGATCGCATGTGGCCCATGGGACGTTAGTTTTACATGCTTGCTATAAACATACACTATTACACACGCCGCTACACATATTTCTACACCCACACTACAACATATGTTGCTACCCACACTGTATACATATACTGCTACACACATACATATAGACATGCACTCAGACTTATACACGTCATACAGCTACATGTATGCACACATTATTCAAGGAGCAAGGATGGGGTCCGCTTGAGAATTCTGTGCCTACAGGCGCTTGTGATGTATAAGACACCTCCATGTATAAGATGACTCCTATTTTTTTGAGCCCAAAATTAAGAAATCAATATTTTAAACATCAAATAGAACTACTTTGATATTTCAGAGAAAATGCAGTGTTTACATTACAGCTTAGTGATAACTTCACTGGCCACTCCTCAGATTGCTGTTAGAGATCCTTCCTGGGTCATGGCTGCCTAAAATGCATCCGAACATTCAGTGTCTCCTCCCTCTGCATGCAGACACTGAACTTTCCTCATTGAGATTCATTGATTCAATTCATCTCTATGAGGAGATGCTGATTGGCCAGGGCTGTGTTTGAATCATGCTGGCTCTGCCCCTGATCTGCCTCTTTGTCAGTCTCAGCCAATCCTATGGAGAAGCATTGTGATTGGATCAGGCCACCACTTCTGATTATGTCAGCAGACAGCTTGCTTTTCTGAGGCAAACAGCATGCAGAGCTACAGCTTTAGGCTTGAATACAAGTAAGATTTTGCTATATTTATGGAGGCATGAGGGGCCCAGGGGGGCTAGATGGTGGTGTTAACACTATAGGGTCAGGAATACATGTTTGTGTTCCTTACCCTATAATATTCCTTTAACACCACCATCTAGCCCCCCTGGTCCCCTCATGCCTCCATAAATATAGCAAAATCTTACTGTATTCAAGCCTGAAGCTGTAACTCTACATGGTGTTAGACTCAGAAAACAAGCAGTCTGCTGACATCATTAGAAGTGGTGGCCTGATCCAATCACGTGATGTATTGATCCTGAGGAAAGCCACAGATGGGGGCTGAAACATCGATCAGTTTTTAATGAACATGCAATAAAGGAGCTTCTTACTATTTATATTATGTGCTTTGGCATTTGGCTTCAAGAATGCACCCGGTGACATAATTATTTAAGTTTGTGTGCAAAGACTATTGAAGTTTTATATATATATATATATATATATATATATATATATATATATATATATATACACACACACACACACACACATGGAAAAATACGGTAAATGCATCCCTGTGTGTAAGGTTCTGACACAGCAGAGTTTTAATTGGAGCCTTGGGGTTGAACACCATGTCGTGGTTGAGTGCAGTGTATCATTGGTCATTTGACTTTTCAAGTCACTTTCAACTGGAGCTTGAGATCCTGGACTAATAGTGGTCTGAGGGACTTGCTAGTAACAGACACACCAACCATGTTTGGAAAGGCATCAAAATAGTGTCTGCTATACAGTTACAGAAGGCAGTAACTGGCATGGCTGGACTGGCAAAGTCAGAGGTGGTTCAGGCAGACAGGAATCAAAGAGAAAAGTAGAATCAGGAACCATCCAGAGCAGTAACGGGACACCTGAATAGTGTACTTAGAAACATAGCGTAGCAATAACCAGGAGACTGTTTCAGAAACAGGCTAATTTGGCAAACAGGATACAGAAACCAAGCACACTAACAGGTGTCACCAGACAACACATACATGTTAAACATTTCCTGTCTCCCAAAGCCCTTTTATTCGTCATTAATCTAGTTCAAATATTTGTACAGGTTAACAGGGTTTGGATCTGCCCATTTAACTGCCATTATCTCATTGGCCATTATCTCAGGGTCAGCTTTGAATGACACCTCCTGTGTTTCTCAAAATGCTTAAAAATGGCATAAAAAGAAAATAACTTGCAGCAGTAGTGGCATATCTCCAAATATAGAGAGGTGTGTAAATTGTAATACGGTGGGTGGGCCTAACAGGGGTTACAAAGTGACCCGATGTGCATCAAGAACAGCATACAAAAGGGTTGGCTCACCATCGTAAGGGCATGACAGCATGGCATAAATGTACGCCAAGTTGACTGCCAATCATTGCTGCAGGCCCACTAAAGGCGCCATTAGCATAGTGCGAGTGTGTATAATGACTAATACAGAGTTATTCATGAAAATGGGGCTGTTGGAAATTAGGGAACAAATGTCACATTTTAGGCCGAAATAGCCATATTGAAAAAGATTATTTTGCCAGCTCAGCTACTTTGGCACAAAATATCAGATTAACTGGTCAGTTTCATGAATAAGAAGTTAAACTTTGAATTGCCAGGGACTGGCTAGTTTATATTTTAGATCATAATAACCAAACTTGAAAAAAAATCTCTATTTAAAAAAAACAAAAAACAAACAGTTGTGAATAATTGCTAGAGATTTGCAAATTGTGGTGTAGGAGAAATTGAATTTGCTTATTCTGACCAAAAATAAAATATATTTTCTTTCAATTATACACAATTTTTTTATTTACAAAATATACTAAATTTTAGCTTGGTTGGAATTTTTCCACGTCAGCTGTTATAGCCCAATTATTGCTATTTAGATTTCAATAGTCCATCCTTTGTACAGCGCTACAGAATCTGAAGGTGCTATATAAATAATAATATGATGCAGAGTTTAGTAAGTAAGCATCCATTATGGATAAAAAAAATAATTAAAAAGATAACACGACGAACAAAACAGAACAAACACCAATACTGGTAGCTAAATCTCACATTACAATTTTTGGTTAATTTCACCTTTTTATGAGTTAATATTCTAAAAGGAAACCAAAAGGATTATAAAAACCCAAACTTCTTCAAACAAAATAAAAACCATCAGATGAGACCCTAAATATGGTGTCTGAATCCTACACAAATTTATCAACACATTTTTAGAAAGCATGACTTATTTTTCAGTATCATTGTGTAAATAATAATAATGTTTTTTAATAAGTGTTAGACTATAGTTAAACCACTTAAGCAGACTCCTGAGGTAACACCTATGCCAGACTGGTACACGTGGCACAGATGAAGATCCGCTCATGTACAGAAACCAGTGAGAGATGGGAAGAGTAAATGGTCTGAAACTGATGATAAAGGATGTTTTAGATGTTCTTTGACTTTAAACCATTGAGCTATCGTGTTCCAGGCTGCCGGGTGATGAGAAACAGAACTCACAGACACGCTTAAAAACACTTTCCCCCTCTTTTTTCGTGCCTTGAATAGCAAAGCATTTGCCTCTCACATGTTTGCGCCGGCTACTTCCGGTGCCGCTCCAGCCTCGCTCTGGCATTGCCGTGACGTCATTGCGAAAGCCGTCTATCTCCTCCCTGTATAGGCCCGAAGCGTGGGGTCTTGGGAGCCCCTTTCCGGCGGAAGTAGTTCGCGTTGAGGCACCGAGTTTCCGTTTCTGGGTCCCGGGTGCAGTGAGTGAGGTCGGTTTAGCGGCGGCCTCCTCCTGTGGGCGGCAGGTGCCATGGCGGAGTTGGTGCAGGGACAGAACGCGGTTCCCGTGGGGATCAAGCCGGAGGGATTCGCCGACGCGCTGCACCGGGTCCGGCAGGTGAGGCCGGCGGGGTCGGGCAGGGCAGGTGGGGGAGGGAGGGAGGGTAGGCCGCAGCCCGGGTTAGAGGGTGAGGGTGTGGGATTGGGCTCGGGGAGCCGGCCCGGCGGCTCTGGGGACGCGGTGAGGCGGCCGGACACGCTCTGCTCGGCCGCAGTGAGGGCCCGATGGCTTCTCCTGTAACCAGGCCTGACTGCGCCGGGCCCTCCCAGCAACCTCCAGCCGGGACTGACACTCCTAGCGGGCTCCTACACCGGCACACGGCCACAGATAATGGCTGGGCTTCAACACCAGCGGCCGGATATCTCTAATATACACTTAATCCGACTATGGCGCCCACAATCCGACTATGGCTCCCATTATAACCCCAATATCAATTTAATAAACCAAGCGTGACACTATAGCGCCCACAATCCAACTATAGCGCCCATTATACCCCCAATATCAAACTAACAGCAAGTTATCACTAATATCCACTTAATAAACCGAGTGTGACATTATAGCGCCCACAATCCAACTATGGTGCCCACAATCCGCCTATGGCGCCCACTTTAACCCCAATATCAACTTAACGAACAGAGTGTGACACTACAGCGCCCACAATCAAACTATAGCGCCCACAATCCAACTATAGCGCCCATTATAACCCCAATATCAACTTAAACCAAGTGTGACACTATGGCGCCCACAATCAAACTATGGCAACCACAATCCGACTATGGCGCCCATTATAACCCCAATATCAAACAGCAAGTTATGACTAATATCCACTTAATAAACCGAGTGTGACACTATAGCGCCCATTATAACCTCAATATCAACGTAATAAACAGTGTGACATTATAGAGCCCACAATCCAACTATAGCGCCCATTATAACCCCAATATCAACTTAATAAACCGAGTGTGACACTACAGCGCCCACAATCCAACTATAGCGCCCAATATCAACTTAATAAACGGAGTGTGACACTATAGCGCCCACAATCTAACTATAGCGACTATTATAACCCCAATATCAACTTAATAAACAGAGTGTGACACTATAGCGCCCACAGTCTAACTATAGCAGCCATTATAACACTAATATCAATGTAATAATCTGAGTGTGAAGCTATAGCACCCAGAATCCAGCTATAACACGTATTCTAGAAAAATACAGGCAAGGACCAGCGCTTATTTTTTAGGAATCCTAATCTACAAACATATGTGGATAATATTATAACTAGCTGCTATACATTCAAGTGATTTCTTACAATGTCGCAAGTACAATATACAAACGAAAAAAAGGAATGTAGCGCTTATATAAATGAATTAATCACGTTTTAATTCAATTAAAGGAGAATATTTGGTTGTCTGTCAAATCTCTAGGCATCTACTAGAGACAATTAGACATAGCATAGATCATATATGAATAAAATGTGTATACACTCACAAACGGAGACCTATAGAACATTCTAATTGAATTAAAAGGTGATTGATTCATTTATATAAGCGCTGCATTCCTTTTTTTCGTTTGTATAACACGTATTATAACCCCAATATCAAACTAACAGAAAGTTATCACTAATATCCACTTAATAAATAGTGTGAAACTATAGCGCCCAGAATCCAACTATAGCACCTATTATAATCCCAATATTAGACTAACAGCATGTTATCACTTAATAAACCGAATGTGACACTATAGCACCCAGAATCCAGCTATAGCTCGTAGTAGAACTCCAATATCAAACTAACAGCAAGTTATCACTAATATCCACTTAATAAACCGAATGTGAAACTATAGCACCCAGGATCCCACTATAACATATGTTATTATTATAACACTAACAGCAAGCAATCACTAATATCAACTTAATAAACAGTGTGAAACTATAACACCCAGAATTCAACTATAGCACCTAGTATAACCCCAACATCAATCTAACAGCAAGTTATCACTAATATCCACTTAAAAAAACAGTATGTGACACTGTAGCCTCTAGAATCCAACTATAGCACCCAGGGTCACAATATAACACCTGCATTAAATTATAACTCCAATATCAAACACGATTAGCAAGTTCTCACTATTTGCTTAATAAACGAAGTGTGAAACCAAAACACCCAGAATCCAGCTATAGTACCCAGTATCATAACCCCAATATCAAACTAACAGCTAGTTATCACTAATCTGTTTAATAAACAAAGTATGACACTATAGCACCTAGGATCAACTATAACACATGCATTAAATTAGAACTCCAATATCTAACAGGAATAACAAGCTATCACCAATATCAGCATTAAACCCAGTATCAAATTATAACACAAGTTTTATAATTATATTCCCAATATCCAACAAACTGGAAAATGTTACTAATTTCAAATTAATAAAGTATCAAACTATAACGCATGTATTAAACTATGACACCAAAATCAAACTGCAAGCTATCACTAATCCCAGTTTAATAACTATATTAAACTATAGCACCGAGTATAGTTTAACTATAACACGTGATATAAATTATAACCTTAATTTCAAACACGAGTAACAGGTTATCACTGATCTCAGTATAATAAACCAAGTATGATATTATAGCACCCAGTATCAAACTATAACATGCATTCTATTATAACCCCAATATCAAACACAAGCAGCCAGCTATTCCTAATCTCAGATTAATAAACTCAGTGTCAATATGTAGGACGCAGTTTCCAATTATTGTTTTATTTATATAGCGCCATCTGACTCCGTAGCGCTGTACAATGAGTAGACTAACAGACATGTAATTGTAACCAGACAACTGGACGTACAGGAACAGAGGGGTGGAGGGCCCTGCTCCATGAGCTTAAATTCTAGACTAGAACACATGCATTAAATTCTAACCCTACTATCAAACAGCAAGTTATATCCGTTTAATATCTGTTTAATAAACAAAGTATAAAACTATAGCGGCTAGTATCAAACTACCGTATTTACTTAAATTGAATGCGCACCTTTATTGCCAAACTAAAGTCTCCAAAATATGAATGCGAGTTAGCTTAAAGTGCAAACAACGAATTAGATATGACGGGCATACAACGCAAATTTGTTGGGGCGACATGGATGCAAGACTTGATTTCTGTGTACGGTAAAGATTGCGTCTTTGTTGCAATGCGAATTTCACCCGTCATCTCTTGTTGACCTATATGTCCTATAGTAGTATCTTGCGCATTACAGGTTTAAAATTTTTTAATGCGCATTAGATTCTGGTAAGGTATAACTTGCATTGAATTAGAACTCTCGAGTAGCAAGCTATCACTAATCCCAGTTTAATAAACAAAGTGTGAAACTAGCACCCAGTATCAAACTATAATGCATGCATTATAATTATCGCCCCAAAATCAAACATGAGCATTAATCTCAGTTTTATAAACCAAGCATGAAAGTGTAGCAAACTAAAACACATGCACTAAATTATAACCCCAGTATCAAATATGCTACCATCCTACTGGTGATTAATTTCAGTTTAATAACCCAATCAACTGTAGACTTCAGTATCAAATTATAACCTACTAGATTGTAAGCTTGTTTGACAAGGACCATCAACATCCTTTGTTCCTGTGTGTCCAACTTGCTAGAAATACTTGTCTGTTACTCCACCTATGGTACCTTGCTGCAGAATTTGTTTGCGCCTTATAAATAAAAATCACCCCAATATCAAACGTGACCCTCCCACTAACAATAAGTTCAGTTTAATAACCCCAGTATAAAGCTAAAATCTTAATATCAAACTGAAACACCCATCTGTCCCTTATTTTGTTTAATACCCCCCATATCACGTTATAACCCTATTATCCACCTAGAGAATCCAGTGTCGACTTGACCAGCTAGCTGTGTATTGTTCTCAGGATGATGATGATAATAGGATTGTGCTAAAGTTTGTTTGGAGTGGTTCATGCAAACCCAATTCCTTTTCATCCACATCCGACCAAATATATCCCTCCTGGATATACCTGTGGAGTCTTATTCAATGAATAAGATCTTCCAAAGGTAAATTCCAAGAACAGCTTCAAATTTTTGCACAGGTTTCTTTATAACTCCAATAATCTATAAGGTAAGTATGAAAATAGGTAGCTAGAATTAAACTATGACCTCCAGGTTTAAACTAGATCAGCTAATATGATAGTAATAACTATAGTATCAAATTTAAGCCTCAAACTGGACCACGCCCACCCGATCTCTTTTTTTTGGTATATGGCTACAAGTAATCCCTTGGATTACTGTGACCTCTGTCCACATGCCTTATTTGTTTACAACTCAGACGTTGCCTGCTGATGTCTTCCATGTTCTATTCCAATATTATGCTTCTTGTAGAGAAGCATTATGAAGGAGTTGCACATGTGAGAAGCATTGAATAATAGTTGAGCTATCAGGAAAATAACCACTAAAAGTGTGTTGAAAGGATTACTCTAACCCTTTCTCTGTGCCTGTTTTTTTTTTTGGTTTCTTTTTCCTTTTATAATGCCGAACTAGGTAATGTAGTAATTTACCATCTTAAATCAGCTACGTCAGTTCATGGGTTAACCAAATGCTTCTCATAGAGAAACATTTGATTGAGCCACTTGACCAGCTCTGGGTGCATGCATGCACTATGAGCTGGGAAGGGTAGACGGGGAGGGGATTTAAAAAAGCAAAAAAATTAAATGTTGGTTGGATGGACTGCTCAGTCAAAGCGAGGGGAAAGCGGGAAGAACAAGCGGGTTTAACTTGCCCTGGTACAAAAGTGAAAATATCTGCTTGAAATACTGCACATACTCTTGCCACCATGACCACTTCTAAAAGCAGAAGTGATCATGGTGTTTGGAATAACCCTTTAACCCGGGGGAAAAAAATTGCAGTTTCTACAGAAGAGCAGTATTTTACAATGCAGGATTATAATGACTCCGAGATGAGTTTCTGAGTGCCTATTGTGTCACTTGTAATAACTCCAGTATGACACTATAATCTCAGTATCAGACTAAACCAGCCAACTGCACTAATCTATGTTTAATAATCACAATGCCAAACTATAACCTCAATATGACACTATATCTATGTTTGGCCAGCAGCTCTCACTCTGATTTATAACCCCAGTATTAAACTATAACCCCTGAATCACTCTGTATCAAACTATACCAGCCATCTGTCGCCAGTCTGCTTAATAACACAAAGTATCAAGCTAGGTCAACTAGCTGTCACTGATCTGTTTTCAAATTCTAGCGTCAAACTTTTTAAATGACGTCGGTGATTTTAAACTGTAAGACAAACTTCTGTTAGCCATTGACAAGTGCAAATTCAGACTTGGCAAGTGTGCTCTGGACCCTCTCACAGCCTGAATTCTTGGGGTTTGTTTTGAAACTGCAACTTCTTATGTGTCTGCGGCCGTCAAGAATGATATTTAAATATCATATAAAATAGAACAGAATTTTAAGCAATGTAGAAATAATAAAAAAAAATAGGCCCTTCAACCACAAGCTCTAACCCAGCTTAGACACCATGCAGCTAGTATTTCAAATGCAAAAATGTTTTCCAGACACATTTATATGGGGGAGTGATAACAAATAAGTTCCTATCTCCTCCTCATATAAAGCAGACACAATTTAGTTTCTTTTGTTTTGCGTTTTAATTGTTTCTATCACAGGAAATATATTGTTTCCATTACTTTAATTGTAATTTAGCTTTTAAATCAGGCCAACTTGCAGATGAGCCACTACAAATGCTGCTACCCTGTCCTTTCCCAGAGATCACATGATAGGAGGAGCTTTGCAGTAGTGAGACACTTTTAGATCAGGTTAGTAGTACAGGACGTGAAAATTTGAGATCTGTCTCATATAATTTGATACCATGGTTCTACCAATAGACAGTGATGATATCTAGCAGGTATATCGGTTAATTACTACAAATGTCAGTCTAGTAATTACAGTAACTTTTAACCAGCCAGGTGCAACTAATCTTGCTTTAGTATTTACAGTATCAAACCATACCAACAGAGCATTAATAGTGACATATTCTACCCTGGTATCTACTGTCAAGCAGCATTATGTGACTAACACATTTATTAACCTGGCAGTCCATTTAACAAACCATACCAGCCTAATGCTAGTCCTAGAACAAACCAAATGCCGCCGTTTTTTAAATCTTATACTAGTTGAGTACCACGAGGGGCAGAAAACTAGACCCACTAATCTCAACCTAAAAAGTCTGATCTAAAAGTATACCAGTTAAATGCTGTTAGTACTACACGGTAGAGACTAAGGTACAGCTGTATCTTATTATGGTCTTGATTTGAATATTTTTGGATAAACTGTTAAATATAATAATTTATTTTTTTCCTATATTGGACATCACATTTTCTGTTATTTAAAAAAAAACAAACAAACAAAAAACACTTTAAAAATGTTAGTAAAATCTGACTATTGTAATAGTTTATTCAAAATATTAACATTAAGGCCTATGTGCTTCTTATTATACTGTCGGCATTGTAACACTACTATCAAATTGTCATAGAGTAGTTGGCATGAACTAAAGATATTGAAATTACATTCATCAGACGTCGGCATATACCACCTATAAACAAACAGGAGGAGACATCTAAAGAAGTCGCAGATCTTAAACTCAAAGGGACAATAGAGTCACCAAAATAACTTTAGCTTTATTAAGCAGTTTTGGTGTATAGAACATGCTTCTGCAGTCTCACTGCTCAATTCTCTGCCATTTAAGAGTTAAATCACTTTGTTTATGCAGCTCTAGTCACACCACCTTGCAAATAAAATGCACAACCTATTTTTTACGCAATTCCTGTAAAATTAGATCTAATAGTTACGCTTCCTTTTATTGCAATGTCCCGTTTAATTTTTAATTGCTTATTTCCTGCACTGTTAAAATCAATTAACAAACTTTTCTAATGGCAACTTTGTTGGCAAAATAAGAAAATGAAATGTGTGTTACAAAAAGTTATTTGACCCCCATCCTCCTGCTTCACAAAAAAGTACAAAAACTTATATTTATATATTGTCCCCAGGAAAGCAAAATGTGTTGGTTTGCACAGATGACGATGCATTTAGGTCAGGGCTCAAAATGTCTAATCTCCACTAGCCATTGGTATGTGATAATGTAGCCCTAGTAAGTGTGCCATTGGACTCTCCAGGATTGCAGTAATTTTTAATCCTGGTTTGTAACATCAGGCTAGTATTTTTGAACCCCGATTAAGGGCAATCTTGCGCTCAGCATCACTGATTTTGTGTCCGCTCCCAGTATGAGTCAGATACCCAGTTTCTGAAAAGCTCCTGGTGAGGTCTCCTTGCATGCACCTCTGGCCAGTGATCGGTTCTTGGCTTTGCTCTCTGCCTAGTACCGGTCAAAGTTTAAGGAGCAGCATCATTAGAGGGGATCTCCCTCTCATGCTGCAATCACACAATAGGTGAGATTTAGGGGCTGGATTAGGAGCAGGGTTATCAGTTGGATTATAGGAAAAAGTATTCATGTTTGGGGTATCATTGTACTCCAGAACAGTAGAATAGAAATATGGGGTGTGGGACATGAATGGTCTGTGAATTTCCCCCAAAAACCCAACAAACTGTAACCAAGCTTTGTGATAAAATGGTTAATCGAAAAGGGTCAGAATGCTCTTAATTGAATAGCCTTGGGTGTACTTTCTACAAATATATACTTGTGTATTCTTTTCTGATTCTGTGACTACTATAAAAGTTGTAATCTAAGCATCCGATATAATCTAAGCATCCGATTTATGGCATTTATCAGTGCACTTGAACAGGGTTTAATTGTGGCAAAAGTGCCAAAAAGGTTTTGATCCCAAACCTGTTTGCTTTTTAAGAAAGCCTTGATCCTTAAGAGGCAGAGGGCATTGTAAACATCAATTTGGCGGTTCATGAAAAAACCGTAGTGGTGTCACATGGCCTAAACAAACGTTAGTCTATATATTGTGCTCGGAAGCATAATAATCCAATGTAAATTTCAATTTAACTCCTGAAAGTAGTACTTTTACTTGATTGCAAAATTAATGATAAATAAATGTAGAGAGCAAAGAGCAGCGGCATGAAACCTTCTACATTACAAATGCTGTGGGCACATTACCCATCATGCTCTTACAGTCGTAATGCTGGCAAAGCGTCATGGGAGATGTATTCCACATCTGCTGGAGGGTGACGTCCTTTTCAAAGACTGTAGATGCAGTTACGTAAATCTCTGTAACTAGTGGTGTTTTTAATGCATACAAGTACAAAACTGGGCTAAATAAGTCTGAGTCTCTAAATGTACTTACTGCCTGAATATTATGGCTGTAATCAATGAATGCAAACGCCCTGATGAGGACGACAGTGTGTGGCTGGGTACATGTTAATAGACTAATACCTGAACATTTCAATGGGTACTTCGGTTTGTAGGAAATAAAGAGCTCCTTCAATGAACTGTGGGACCTTGATCATACTTTGTCAGCATATCACGCTTGAACTGTATGTGCTGCTTTAAAGGCAGCCAGTGTTTCACAAAACAAAATTGCCCTTGTGAGTTTGTAGAGACAGAACTTGCCGAACTGTCACTAATAATGTTATGCAACTCTTTCGTTTTCTGTTATCTATTGCCTAGCTCGCCGTGCTTGCACTCGGTTTAGCAGCCCTTTTTAATTTTATTTTTCTTCTAGAAGATTTTGGGTTTTGTTTTGTGTCCTCTACTTCTTCTATTTGACTGTAACCTGGAAGAAAAGGATGGGGGTTATGGTGAAACAAAAAAATGAGGTCCCACTGTTTCACGTTGTTTGTTTTATTACTGAGCTCTGCATTGAAAGATTGCGAACGTTGCGACCCAAATCTATGCGGGGTGTTTTTGTAGTGAAACTTTTGCTATAGCTTGGCAACAGCAAATATACTGGAATTTGAGTGCTAGAAGATCTCGAAAAGAGTTTGGCAAAAATCAGTAGGGGTGAATGCGTTGACTTCTTGCACGTAAACTGCAAGTAGCTGGCCTGTTTGAACTGTGTAACTTATTAGTTTGAATCTTTGTTTTTCAACCGGCTTTATTTATAGCTATTATAAACTAGATAAGCCAGGGATATCTCAGTTATTCCTATTCCAGGAATGAACAGCTAGCTAAACGGACTGATTTTACCCATTTTGCATTACACTGGTATCACCCAGCATTGCCAACAAAAGCTGTGCCCAATGTTTTTAAAAGTTTGGGGCAATGCCTCAAAACTTTAACGGCCACATGTTCCTCTTTAACATGAATATAATTTCTGTGCTGTTAATGCTGGTATTGTGGAGAGCAGGGGGACTTGCTGTAACTGACTGCAAACACCATAGTGCAGTATGATCGTTGATTTGCCTTATTTAGACTCACTGAAGGGGGGGAATTCTCTTTGAACCCTTGGCCCAGGTCTGGACTGTAGCAGCTGTTTGTTTGATGTCTCAAACGTGAGTAGCCTTATTTAGTGCCAGTGTGTGTGAAGTTTTGTCAAACTGAATATAACCCCCCCACAGCTCAACATGGGACAGGAAGTAGCAGCACAGAACAGGGTTTGTCTGCAAAACTACAACCAAAACAGCTGTCAGAAGTGGTAAATGCGCGTGTGTGTATATTGAATAGCACGACCATTTATTACAGAAAGGGGGAGAAAAGATTACTTCCTCTTGAACTCTGCCTGTAAGTTTCTTTTTGAAGCAGCATTTGCCTCCAAAAAAAACTGATTCACTTCTTCACCTTGCAGTAAGATGGGCTGGCTAAATGTGTGAAATTCCTTTCCCAAGCTTTCTTGTAGCGGATTAGTTACTCTGTATAATGTACATTCAAAGTTATGGGCGTATCACAACTTCACCATGTTTTCGCACACAGCACATTGATATTCGTTCCTGTGTCACTCTTCAGTAATGTAAACTCCATATACATCATAAGGGAAATCTAAATGAAACTGGTTTTAGTAGTGGTTATGATGCAAGCAGGCCTCAAGTGTAGTCGATCTAGTTTTTGTCAGTTTTCCCCAGTTCCTAAAGCCCACACCACCCCATATAATAATCTGTTCTAGGCTGTCCCCTGTCAGCATTGTTTGTTTATTAAAAAACTTATGAAGGATAGAAATTACTACCTGGGTGCCGGGAATCCCCTGTGTTTTTAATTTTTTGTTTAGAAGTTTTGTTTCGATAATATACTTTACTCACTATTGAGAAACAAATATTGTAAAAACAATCTCACATTTTTAATACAACTTGTGCAACAAAGTATAAATCCATTATAGTAGCTTCTCTAACTTAATTTGGTGAATACCTCATATGGGTTTCTTTTTCCTATTTCAGACCATCTTATCCCTAATCTCGTCCAACGTTTGTGGGCAACTTTATTTTCACCTCTCACGAGTGCATGAAATTGGCTTGAATACTGTATACTTTGTGTATATTATTGCAGGGAAGGTTAATTTGTACGCAGCTACACAGTCTGGAAAAAGCCATGTCATTTTTATAGATTTTTGTTTTTGTCTAGCAGTCTATGAAGACTATCATTCCCAACTTGCCAGTCACTTAAAAGCTACAGGGTTGGCACTCTAAGGGGTAATGTGGTAAATCATGGGAGCAATGCCTCTCTGATAGCCAGCAACTCTGCCCTAAGGAAGGAGAGCTATTGGAGCTTCTGACGTTACATGAAGGCAATGATGGCACAAGTGGACCCCTTTTTAAGTTGAATTGTTAGCAAACTACTTGCATGAGGAGGGGGATGACGACTCTCTAGTGGTTATGGAAGTTGAAGTGTTCCGCCCACCCCCCCCGCCCATTTATTTATTTTTTTGTGTGTGCTGATGCTGCATATGATTTGTTTATGAAAGGAAATTTTGTATAAGTGCTGCAGAATGTTGAGTGAAACCTATGCTTTTGTTTTTATTGCATACTAGTTGAGGTTAAAAATAAGCTCTGGATTTTAATTGTACAAAGACATTTGTATAGAAAAGAAGCAAGGCTGTTGATTAAAGTCAATGATTGCTTACAGTTTCTTAAACTGCTTGCATTGTTCTCATGAGCGACAGTTGCAAGTATCTCTCAAGGTCACTCAACGAGATTAACTCGGAGAGATGAGCTAGCGTAGCTAAGATCTCCTCGTGTCACGTTGACGTTTACCTACCTGCCAGTGAACATTTGGCCCAGCTACACACAGAATTGGCAAGATACTACTTCAAGTTAAAATGCTCCATCCAAAATGTCAGTCTGCTTGTCCACTTCCTCTTTGCATCCATCCTGCCTATTCAAAGCTGTGAAATTAACAGCTGATCCTCTGAAACAATACAAGCAGGCAAGGCTCCAAGATCTGTAGTGAAAACATCATCTGGTAGTTTGCAACTACATTCATTTGATTCATGCTGGGAGATGTGCTGGAAACTGACCTTCTGCACCATAGCGATTTAGCCTGCGTCTGGTCTCTACCACCACATATTTTATAAATAAGAGAGCTATTTGTATCATGCAGCTCATTTTATAGTCTACATGTTCAGTGACTTCAAACCACAGTTGCTAAATGTCTGTAGAACTGTCAGCCAGTCTCATTGAAGTAGTAATCTGGAACCCGTACCACACATTTCTAATGTCACATAAGTCTTGTGACCATTATTTAGGAGTTTTGGATTGTTCTTCCATTTTTGCATTTTGAGTCTACTGTGCTAATTTTCCCCCCCATACATTCTCTTACAGATGGCTGCTAAAATTGAAATACCACACTTGAATAATTCCGGATCTCTTGTGGACCCATCTGTGTATGGTTATGGAGTCCAAAAAAGACCCCTTGATGATGGAGGTAAGTTGACACTTCATACCTTTTTTATTTTATTTTTTTAAGGGTTGTGGCAATTATTTAATCCATACATATTTTTTTTTTGTCTGTCAGCAGGGTACCTGGAAAGTCCCTCCGCCTGCTAGGAATAAAAAATAATTGTTTTTTTTTTTTTTTTTTTTAAATGTCTTAAAGGGACTCTACAGTGCCAGGAAAGCATACTGGTTTTCCTGGCACTGCAGAATCCTGCAGTGCCCCCCTCCATCCCATGTTGCTGAAGGGGTTAAAACCCCTTCAGTGACTTACCTGAATTCAGTGCCGATGTCCCTCTGCGCTGGGTCAGGCTTAGCCCACGCTCCTCCAGCGCCAAGGTCACCTGGCGGGAGAGATCTAATGCATATGCGCAGCAATGTCCGCGCGTGCGCATTAGACCTCGCCATAGGAAAGCATTATTCAGTGCTTTCTTATGGGGATTCTGTTGACACTGGAGGTCCTCATGCATAGCGTGAGGACGTCCAGTGTAGTTTAAAACACTTTTTGTGTTCTAAGAATCCGGAAGTCCCTCTAGTGGCTGTCTAATAGACAGCCACTAAAGGAGGACTTAACCCAGCAAGGTAATTATGGCAGTTTATAAAAACGACAATTACACTTACAGGATTAAGGGTGATGTGAGTTGGCACCCAGATAACTCCAATGGGCAGAAGTGGTCTGGGTGCATGGAGTGTCCCTTTAATACATGCAGTTCCAAGAAATCATTTGGGATGCTGATTCCACCTTTAGGAAAAGGTGACTCGTGTATATTTTCAAAATTGTACAGTACAATTTGTTTCCCTCCATTTTTGAAGTGGTAGAGTGTAACTTTTCTTCACAAGGGACGGTGTGGTATACTGCTTTAAATCTACAAAATAACACTATAACTAGAGTGATAGCATTATGATATCAAGTAAAGGCAAGCTCATATGCATTCTCAGGATATGGAAGATATCCTTTCAGTGGGGTACAGCTATAACATTAATAAAATGTTTTATTTTCAAAGCAACAAATGATTAGAAAAATATGGGACAATACATTCCTAACTGTTTTAAGAGCTTCTTCAGGAACCAAATCTGCGTAATAATACACATCAAGGCATATAAACAATGCCATAAACTCCCCACATAAGTTCCCGTTTAAATATGCCTAGGCCTCTCCTCTCATTGGTGTTTACAGTTGGCGTATAATCTTTTATACTGATTAGTCCAGCAATGATATCCTTTATCTCTACTTGAGCAATACATTCTTATATCTGAATAAGTTAGCTGTGTCATGTTGTCCATGATGAGATTTTTAAAGGAGTTGGTGGAATGTAAAGCACACGTAAGAGGTGGAACACATCACAGGATTTTACACATCATACACAGTCATTCTACAGAGGCCACTTTTAGACTCGTCACTTCTAAATACTCCCACTTTTCAAACAACCTGTGCACTTTTGGAGACTGCTGATATCTTCCAAAGAGTTGAGCACCATAAAAATAAATGGAAATGTTTGTATTGGTTTAGTGTTTGGGAGGAGGGGTTTGAAAGAAGGCGTTGTAATGTCTCCCCACCTCTTATTGTTTTTTTGGCCCTTTATATAATAGTTCATCTCTGTTTGTATGTAGGTATGGCTAAATATTTCCATGACCAGCATGTCCTTGGGTATCTTGCCAGTGGCAATGGTGGTTTGTTTGAATTTTAGTTTTACTTGAGATCATGGCTAGCTGGACAAGGGTGTTTGGAATAGCATGAAGCTCTTGGGTTATTTGCTGACCATATTTTCGTCAACAATAAGGTTTTACGTATTTTTTTTTTTATTTTATAGAAATGTTTTTCACAATCACTGTAAGAGGATGCACTGCATGTGGGATGGAATGAGTTAGCAAGGCAATAATACAAACAATGAAATTTGTAATATGGTTTTCTAAAAAATAAATAAAAAAAATTACAGGAACACTAACGTCTAAAGCTCTTTAGCTTATGTCTTTTTTTTTTTTTTTTTTTTTTTACATAAAGTACAGCCTTTAAAAATACTTCTAGAAATTGACATTGTTGCACATCCCTGGCTGTCAGACAATTGGTCTTGTTACTTCCTGGTTTGGTTAGCTGTGTGGAAACTGAAAAGGCAACAATTGCTTAGAGCTTCTGCCCTGTCAAGAAGTTTTTCCTTTTTAAAGAGAAATGGTAACTAATTTAGTTGTTTCCATTTTAACATGCCACTGCAAATTCTACTGGAGCATTTACTTTGAAGTGTGAAGCAGAGAATAGTACTGATGTCCACATGGCATTCTAGCACCCAGTATGTTATGCTTTCTCTTTTCCTGTCCTGTTTATTCACTGAACCTGATAACATCAGAGGAAGCGGCATTCCCTTGAAGTTTTGCTCAGAATTGTATATCCCTGGGTAGAAAATGTTATGGGCTTGCTCCCACCAATCCCAGTTATTTCTGCGTTGAGACAGACTTTTGTGCTCTTTATGTATATCAGAGGTGAATAAATACAACGGGTGATATTTATTGAATTGTTGGTGATGCCTCTCTGTCTCACTTTAAAGAATTGGATTTCTTTTTTTTTTTTTCTCCATCTTATTTTTTATTTTATTTTTTGATATCGTATCTTCCATTTTTAAATATTAAAGATAGGTTTCTAGTACTTATAGTAATGTCCAAATGTGAAAGGTGGCTTGAACAACACAGACCAGAGTCTGCCCTATCTGGTCGTTGATGTGTAGTAGAAAGGATTAAATTAGGGTGCAGCTCCTTGATGGGGTCCTCGGGTCCAAGGGGGGGTCTAAAAAAGGACAAAACGGAGGCAGTATATTGTATTCAGTCGATCCTTCTAGTGTGGCAATAAAAGGGAGGAAACATACTTTGTGTTTTTGGAGCTAGAGCCTAGCACCAGACATAGCGCTTGGGCAGTACAGTCACCACCTGTGGATATGTCTATAGTCTTGGTCCAATAGGGTATGGTTCAAATGTAATTAATTCAAATTGAAACACTAATATAGTGCAGTATATCAGACTTCCAGGATAGTGAATAAAATGTGTGTGTGTGTGTGTGTATATATATATGTATATGTATATGTATGTATATGTATATATATATATGTGTATGTGTATATATATATATGTGTATATATGTGTATGTATATATATATATAATATGCGCACACACATTTTAACGGATCCTCCTAATGACTCCTTACATAGGGCTTGGAGAGGAATGATCCCCACTCTAAGGATTTGTGTGCAGTCTTTAATTTTTTTTTCTCAGATGTGAAAAGTTGAAGAAAAAATAAGTCCAGAGATAAATAAGCATAAACCTTTATTAGGTAGTAATAAAAACCATGAATTGGCACACCAACGCGTTTCACCCAACAATTAGGCTTTCAAATGATTTTTTAATATTGGACTTTTTTGTTGCCTGCACAACAGATTTATGAATATTATCTCCACATTTCTAGCAGAATTTTTCCTTCACTTTGAATTTTACAATCTGCTGAAATGGAAATTTCTGTATATCTGTTTGCAAGAAGCAAAACAATGACGGAATATAGGCACCACTTTTTTTCAGTTTGTAAAAACACTTTTGAAAGGAATAAAGGGGTGCACCAGTTGTAGTTACATGAGCTGCAGCCTTAGGATGTTTGTGTCCAGTTAAATAAATGATTCTCTTGTGCAGGGAATTGTGGGTAACTCTATTTCTTAAAAACTATAATTACCAATAGTCGTATTCCTCCTCCATCTTAAAGATGGTGGCATGAAATGTACTCTATATCCTTGTACCCAAATGGTATACACAGCAAGCTCGTCTCTTGTATAGAATGTAAAATACATAATGTTTTAGTTATGCGTAAGTTGGCTATTTGGCTTGCATAGTCAATAGATCATGTGTTAGCCTATACAAAGGGATGAGTCCTGAAATAAGCACTTTAAACCCTTAAAGATAACCAACTTTTTCGGAACATCCTTAAATACCTTACAGTGGAATGTCCTGATTTTTACGTTTTGGCAGCTCTGTGCTGCTATGCAATCATTTATTTAGTACATTATTCCACTTTAACTGAGGATCCTTAAAGAGCACTTTTATGAATGCACCATAAATTATCATTGGTTCTTTGCGGGTATACCGAATGGCCATATTTGTTTCCCCATCTTGTTTAATAATTCCTGTTTTAGAATTCATGAAACAAGATGGGGGGGAAACCTTTTGGTCCAATCTGTTAAGCTATCAACAGCTGTCAGGTAAGGGATGTATTCTCTTGAATGTCTCCTTAGCACCATTTCTACCCTAAGGTAGGATTTTTTTTAAAGCCTTACTAAGCTGGCTCAAGGCCCTTCATGTGAGTGTTTTTATCTTTTTTTTTTTTTTTTTGAGTACAAAAACAACTTACTCTGGATACCAACTAAACTTTGCTGGCAATATCAATATTGTATCCTTAATAAATAATTGGTCAGCTATATTCTTTTTCAGTTTGCTAGGCAGTTACACGGTTTTGTTGAATGTGTGCGCATATATAATATTTTTTGTAATTTTTTTTATTATTGTAATTTTTATTTATTTTTTCCCTTCCCTGATGTGTACTTTATTCTCTTGGCCTGCCAGCCTTCTGTTTACTCACCTTTAGCCTGGAGCGACTGAGTGCTAAATGTATATGTAACAGCTGCTGTGTCATTCGATCGGATTATATTTTTGCAGAGTTTAGTTCTGCGTTTACACAGCCGTGCAATGCTGTCAAAATCTCAGGGAGCGCGAGCTTAAACATTGCACTTATAAGGGGTTGCTGAACAGCTGTTACCCACTGTAATTATAAATACAGCGTTTATCGGAAGAAATGATTGCTCTTTAAATCTAAATATTTTTACATTTACCCTTTTGCTGAATATGGGCTGCAAAACACAGGAAATATTAACAACTAAATTGCATGGGGCAAGAATTAATCTTGGCTGTAAAATAGTACGGGGGAGGGGGTCATATTAATCTGCCGTTAGCAAAGGCTGCTTGCCAGGTTCCTAAATATATGATGAACCGCCTTCTAACTGCATCATGTTCATAACTGTCAAAATATTTTGAAATCCTAAGATTTATTTTATAAAGTCCTTAAATATATTTTTTATTTATGCAAAGCTTGAATCAATCTACTCCATTTGTAAGTGAATTCAACACGTAATTTATTTTTTACTTTAAGACTCCTACTATTTTTATCAATAAAGTTTAGGGTCCTTAATTCTCAGCTGTTAGGGTTGAAGCTCGTTTGAGCAGGGTCCTCTTCAACATATAGTTTCTGTAAGTTTTCTTGTAATTGTCCTATTTATAGTTAAATCCCCCTTCTCATAATATTGTAAAGCGCTACGGGATCTGTTGGCGCTATATAAATGCCAATAATAATAAAAGGGTGCTTTGCCTACAAACCAATATATAGATTCCTTCTCATCTGGACAGACTATTATATAGCGGGATAGAGCTGTGCTGAATTGCTACTGAGCCCTTCAGTGTTGCCCATATGAGCTTGGTTCTTCTTTTCCTCGCAATTAAACAGTTTCACCATCATGGCAAAGATGGAGGACAGAGGCCTTTTACAGATACAGCCTTCTTTTGTTGGGTTTTCCCCTCTCCAAATTGCAATAAATTTTTTTGACAGAATCTGGCCAGACATAAATTCTTTAAATAATTATTCAGCATTCACTGGGATACCCTAAAGAAATGTAACAAGTACTTTAGGTTCAGACCCATATATATCAAGGCATATTTGGTAATGGTTATGTCTGTCTATAGTTTGGAGCACGGTGTGTGGTGAGGCGCTTGAGACGATAACAGTAGTTGGCCCGTCTATTCCTAAAGCCCAGGCTGTCCTTTGCTATAGGTCTCCATGGAGAAATCCTTTGTGGTCCACAGCCGTGACGTCTTGCAAATCTTTTTTGGAAAACATTCTTTGAAATCGTATTACAATAGTAAAATGTTTTATAGGTCTTGTCTGAGATCACTAGTTGTTTGAAAAGAAAGTAATGCAACATAGCTGCACTTGTAAAGCATAAGTGTTTGCATGTAAATGTAAAAAGCTGTATGTGGGTATTTTTCCTTCCATGTAGGGATCTTTAAAATCAGTAGTTGTGCGCTTTTTTTTTCCCCCCAGAAAAAAAAAAAAAAAAAATATATATATATATATATATATTATATTATTTATTTTTATATTTTACGTGCTTTATTTAAAACGCTCGAAGCATAGGTTTCTTTATTTTAAAGTGTTATTTGGAGTGATCCGAAAAAGTTTGAGTTTTTATTTTTTTTACATGTATTTCTACAATTTTGTTACATTTTAGTCTTCTTGACTTTTGCCATATTTACCCCGAAGTTTTTTGTGGTTTTTTTTTTGTTCCCTTCAACCCTCCCCCCCCCTTCTTCCAGTAACCTAACAGAATTCTCTCCTGTGTAGTCTTCCGCATGCCTCACTAATTCTCCTTGAATAAGAGCACTCTATGTTCCCTCTTTCCTCTTTATCTTATCCACCTGGCAGACCAGCCGGATTGTAAAAAACTGGCACCTGTGAATGATCGTAAGTAAAGCCCTTGCCCTTCCCAACCCGTGCAGGTATCTGCCATTCAACACCTCTGCATGTTGCACCTCCGTGGCCTGTTCTGTAGCTGGGAAGAGACTCTCCTGGTCCTCTCTTGCACAGCATACTGTTCCCTTCCTCTCCCCTTTCTTGCACTTTTGCATGCTGTTAGCTGGTGTGTAAGTTCGTTGACTGGTTCATCAACCGTAAACATGGCTGGCGATGCAAGCTGACGCATGGGTTTGATGAGCAAGAAATGTTGGCTTGATAAACACCTTGCACTCCTAAAGCTACTTACCCTCAGTCTCTCCTTAATTTGTGGCAATTGACAGGTGGATTGGTAATGGGAATACTTAATGTTTTTTTTAATTTTTTTTTATTTATTTTTTTAAATTTCCCTTCTCATTGTCTATCTTCAAACTGGAGAATAAAATATAAAGTTTATTTAAAAAAAATGTATACTATAATAATATAGCATGTGTATAGCTACAAAACTGATAGTCTTTGCATGCCAGTGTTCACAATTAGAACATGGAAGACAATCCGGTCTAACTTTGGCTGCATACAGGTTACTAAATTGAACCTTTGTATATCTCATTCAAAGTCTGATGCATGTTGTAAAGTAAAAATACAATCAAAATTGAGAGGATATTTTTTGCTGTACATTTTCTGACATTTGGGAATCCAAATGAAGTTATAAATAAGACAGTGGGTGGCACGGTTTACATGCATATCCATTATATCTTTGAATATTCTGTTTATGCAAAAAGTGTGTCCAAACCAATACAACTCATGCAGCAACTAGTAAAGTGATTCTATAGTGTAAGGAATACAAATCTTCCCTGCACTATAGTCCCTACAACAAACATTCCTCCGGGGAAAATAAACCCTCTTAAAAGACTGTTCCCCATACTTTATTGGTAACGTTGTATAGAGATGTGATTAGTGCATCTAACCTTGGCTGCAGGAAGTGTAACACTGGCTATCATTGTGAAGTTTGACATAGCCAGTGAAAGTGCATAGTTCAATGGCTGAGAGGGGCTTTAACAGGCTGACCTGGTAAAAGGTAATGGTTGGGAGAGAACTTTTGTATCTTAATCCTTTTTAAATAAATCCCTTTATTTCGCATTTTCACTATTTATTCAAAAGGAGACAATTTCAGGTGAACAGTGTAGTTAATTTGCCAGTAACCACATTTGGGTTTGTTCACTAAACTGGAAATTGGGGAGAATTCTAAAATAGCCAGCACATGAAACTGTGCAAATTTTAGGCCTGTGTAGCTTACTGATAAAACAGGTCAAATTTAAAGACTTTTTCCAGTGTTACCATATTGTTAACTTTGATTCATGGCAGTTACACTTGTTTTGCCTTACCATTTCCAATTTCCTGATACATTCACAAATGGATCAAAGTTAGTAAATAACCCTGACAAATACAGAGTAATGGTGAACAGCACAATACAAAAGTGAATGAACAGTGTACCACAAGTGCACCTCCTGCACCTAAGGAAGATGCAGTTAGCGTCGAAACACGTGCTTTACATAAGGACTTTCTTTGGCACCTCAACAAATGGAATGTAAGATTTTTAAATTTATTATGGAATAACATTTTACTTTTTTATCTTACCATTGGTGCCTCTCTCTGATTTGTTATCCTGAGGGTGAAAGCTCCTATCCATAAAGACCCTACAAGACCGTAGAAAGTTTCCCTATACATCACAATCAAAGCGTACTTACATGAGCCAGTAATATATACAGGCTTTGTAAAACGGGAGTGTGATTACTGCAGTGTTTCTTTATATACACGTATTGATTTTACTAGTTGTATTGCCCTATGAGATTTTGTCTGATTTATCCTAGGAAATATCCAGGAAACTTTAAAGGGTGTATATACTTATTTTTATTGTATTCACATCACTTGTAGTACATTGTTTATTAATTTTTGTACTGCGCTGTTCACCATTACTCTGTGGGTGTCTGTTTTAATTGTGGGACTGGAGTTATTGGTTTCACGGTGGTAACAAGCTGCAGAACACCACACTGTATGGTATCTGTTTGCACTTTATATTTAGCACCAGTATTTATTACACTATTTTTTTTGTTTATTTAGTAAATTTCTGTTTTGGAATGTATCCTTGCTAGCCATGATTACTTTTTATATAAAGGGGGGTGGGGAGGGTGGTTATGCTAGAGTCGGTGTGTTTTTTTTTTTTTTGTAGGTTTGTGTAAAAGCAAAAAAATTTAATCAAAACGTGGGCAATGTTTTTGCAACCTAAATACTTCGTATTGGCAGAAATGTTGTACGTGTATATTTTTCTATATCTAAGAAATGAAAGAAACTAGAAATATTTTACCTTTATGGAATGGATACATCTTGTTTTCTCTTATTTTTGAACTGTACTGGGAATTGGTACACACCAAACACTGTAGTACTTGGTTTATCTTTCTCATAAAGCTGAAAACTTTGTGTACCATGATTTTTGAACAGGTACTTCAGCTGATGTTTCAAGCAACTAGCTTTAGATAATATAGGACCTACTTGCTGTGTAGATTTTTGTTAAATAGACTGTCATGGTTTCTTTTCCCCCCCCCCCCCTTCAACTTCTTCATGATACAATAGGAGCAATGTAAGCAGTAATGTATTCAGAGGCACCTTTCGATGTAAAACTAATCTTTTTCTGGCTTCATACGATTACTTTACATATATATCTCCAAATATCTAAATTCCAACTGTTTCTGGATTCTTGGGGAATGTTGGTTCTTGGTTAAGGTGCTTGCAAATTTATGTAGGGAGATACAAAGTTAGAAATAGTGCAGACTGGCTTTTCCTGCCAATAGTGCAGACTGTTTTGGCAGGAAAATATGACTCACAACAGTGGTATGAGGTAGCACTCACATGTTATGGAGCTTAAACTAGCTCCAAGTAAGATTACTTGCAGCGGTACAATCCCCACTGGGGGATATAACTTATTAGGCGAATATCTCGATATGCAGATAGGTATATGTAAGATAGATAGGTATATGTAAGAAAAAAAGAAAAGAAAAAAACTACCCAATAGTGCTTACTTTAAACATAAATATGTACAAAAATTTATTACTCACATTTGATAGTGTTATGTCGTTCAAATATCATCATGGGTGGTATAATCCCCACCAGGGATATGTTGGTAAATAGTTGTCCAGATCTGAAGTTAGGTGAGCAAGTACAATATAAAGTTGCATAAAAAGTGTAATAAATTGTCTATCACAACCAAGTGAATTAAAACCAAATATACTTTAATGCTTAAAAGGAATAACACATAAATGTTACAATATTGCACAATGCGTTTCACCAATAAAGGCTGATCTGCCTGCTTGGCTGACCTCATCAGAATTGATTCTCTGAGCCAATCACAATGCTTTCCTATTGGATTGGCTGAGATTGTCAAGGAGGCGGAGGCAGAGCCAGCACAAGTCACACAACCCTGGCCAATCCATAAATCCTCATATAGATGCAATGAATCAATGCTTCTTTATTAGGAAAGTTCAGTGTCTCCATGCAGAGGGTGGAGACACTGAATGGCACACTAGGCAGCACTGCCCCTGGAAGCACCTCTAGCAGCCATCTGAGGAGTGGCCAGTGGAGTTACTAGGCTGAATTGTAGACACTGCATTTTCTCTGAAAGACAGTGTTTACTGCAAAAAGCCTGAAGAGACTGTTTTTTTGCTTACTTACAGTGGCTTTGTGTCATTATTATAAAATCCTACAGATTCTTACTTTCATCTTAGGCAATAATGTATTCAGCTGTTACCAATGGGCAGTAGGATCATTCTGACTAGCACTCAACCTATTAAATCTTTGAAGTGTAGACTTCGTCATGGAGTTGTGGCAGCCAAGAGATGATACAGCAACCCCAGACGATCGTTTCAACCTTGCTAGGCATCATCAGTAAGGTATAGCCAATATCCCTCTAGGCACTGTGAGCAAGGGGTCCACGTCTGGATTACCCTTTAAATTTAAGGAGAGCCCTCTCTTGCGAATTTTTTTTTTTTTGATCTCTCAGAGCTGCGCGCGCATTAAAAGCGTCCATAGGAAAACGTTTATCAATGCTTTGCTATGGATGTTCTGCGTGCGTTTTTCGCATTGAGCGTCGCTCTAGTGCCTGTCAGGAAGACAGCTGCTAGAGGCTGGATTAACGCTGCAATGTAAACAGTTTTACTGAAACTGTTTACATCTGAAAGGTTAAAACCTGGGGGACCTGGCACCCAGACCACTTCAATAAGCTGAAGTGGTCTGGGTGACTAAAGTGGTCCTTTAATATATTTGCAAAGATAAATATTTAAGGTTTCCGCCTTACAAGAGTGATAAAACTTGACATGCGTTGTTTGGAAGCATTGTTACACACTGCCTTGTAACTAATCATTTCTGAATATACTGCCATTCCCTCTCCCAATAGAACTATGCATGCCTAAATTTTGTTCAGTTTTCAATTCACTACAATTCAGAGTTTGGAAAAAGAAACTGTTTTTGTTCTCGGTTAATTTCTTGGCACGTGGTGATTATTAAACATTGCAAAGTGATTCACATGCTTCCCTGCCTTTGCAAAGAACAAACATACATGCAAAAGAGATCTGGTCTGGAGCCGAAACACTACCTTTGTGAGTTTGTATACATGTTGTATATCAGTCTCCTGGCTGCTACAAACGGGAACACCTGTTGGCTTTTGTAATCTGGCATATGTAGTGTCAGGACTGCAAATCACTTTTTAAGTACTCTATACTATAAATAGGGTTGGACTTCACGAACTGTGTGCCCAAGAATCCTTCAGTCAATCTCTTTCCCGACAGACATGATTTATCTTTTTCTTTTTTCTTGAAATTTTTAATTTAGCTTTTTAATGGATAACGTGTGGTGTGATGGATTTTTTTTTTCTTCTTCTTCTTCTGCTTTGGCTTATTGATTTTTGCTTTTTGGCAATCAGCGCAATCTCTGCATCATGTTAAATTTGATGGCCAGTAGGGAAAGTGTTTAAATATTCCCCATCATTGTCTTATGTTCCCAAATACCCTGTGGCTGTCTGGAGGGCTAGCAATATGTTTTGCCTTGTCCTCCCTTTATGAAAGCATGCAATCAATTTCTGTGTCCATCCAGCTGGTCCATACAGTTTATACAGTGTTGATCATGAAGATACCCTTCCGTTCAATGACATATATCCCTTAATAATGTATTCGTTTCAGAAACTAAGCCTAAATGTTTGTGATGGTACACCCTCCAGTGCGCTACACCCCCCCCCTCCCTCTCCTTACGCTCGTTAGACAGAGAATGCATTTTTCCAGCAAGATTAAGTTGACTTATTCGAAATAATACTTTATTTTTATTTTTTTCTTTTCCTCTTTCTCTTCCACAGTTGGTAACCAGTTAGGAGCGCTGGTACATCAAAGGTAAGCAGTGGGCTATGTTTTATTATTTATTGATCAGGATCTAATTGTTTATTGATCCGCCATCTGTAGTCTAGTATGAGCCAAGCAGTTTAAGACTCGAGTCGAGCGATTTAGTGAGGAATAATTTTTTTTAAATTTTATTTCTTTCAAATGCGGATAGTCAGGCATATGTTCTAGGTTTGCAGAAATGGGTAATGGGCCATAAACTTAAATTAATAGAGATGACAGATGAGCTCCCAGAAAGGCTGCTTGCTTTGTCAGATGATGTAATAGTTTTTCTGTTTGCAAGTCAAAATGGCTGACCTTGTGCACACTGCTTTTACTACAAACGGAAGATATATATTAAGAATAGGTAGATATTATGAAGATATTTGCACTGTGATCCTAAAGGTGTATCACACTTGAAAGACGTCTAAATTAGACATGCTTTTATTTTCTCGAGAATGTGATCCTGTCATATGGCCTAAAGGAAGTGTGTAAACATAGCCTTAAAGGATCGCTATAGTGTCAGGAAAACAAAGCGGTTTTCCTGACACTATAGTGCCCTGATGGTCCCCTTCCCCTTCAGCAGCTTACCTTAATTCAGCGCTGGGCTCACTCGGCGCTGGTGACCTCTCCTCCCCGTCTGACGTCACTAGAGCCGAATGCTCATGCGCGGCAAGTGCCGTGTGCGCATTCAAAGTGTCCATAGGAAAGCATTTCTCAATGCTTTCCTATAGACGCTTTGCGTGATGGAGGCGAAATTTGCCTCCAGCGTTGCAGATGCGCCTATAGTGGCTGTCCGGAAGAGGCTGGATTAACCCCAACTGTAAACAGCAGTTTCTCTGAAACTGTTATGTTTACATGTGATGGGTTAAAACCTGAGGGACCTGTCACCCAGACCACTTCATTGAGCTGAAGTGGTCTGGGTGACTATAGTGTCCCTTTAAAGGCAAATTGTGTGAAAAATATTTATCCAGTTCTGATTCTTGAACATGTATTCTGGAAAGAATAACTTTTCTTGTTGCAGACTGATTTTTGAATCACTGTTATACAGATCAAAATAAATGAGGCAATCAGATGCTGGGCATTTAATGCCTACAATATCTGATCTTCTACAAGAGAGGAAGAGTGCCCTGATAATGAATGTGTTGTCCACTATGTGTACAGAGACATTCCTTTTGTTCACCTTCCCTTGTCATTTTGTCACCAGAAAACCTATACAATAAAGTTTTTTTTAATTAGGTGTTTGGCAGGGCTCTGGGAGGAATGCAATGAATATTCAACACATTTGCATAAATGGCTTTAAGTAAAGCACATTTTAGCGTTAGCCCAGATAGTAATAAAATGTTTAATTGTTCTCTGTAAGATCCTGGTGTGATTGAGAACACTTCTTTCTGTTGTTCTGTCTAAATGTTTGGTATTTAAAGTGTCGTTTCCCCCCCACCCCCCCACCCTTTTTTTTTTCTTCTTAGAACTGTGATGACAGAAGAATTTAAAGTGCCTGACAAGATGGTGGGATTCAGTAAGTTATTCTCTGATTCTCAGTGTGTAAATAAACGTGCATTTTTCCAGTCGTACAGTGGTAGAATCCCTAAGGTGTTTTTCCCTTTACTGGATAGGTAACGGAAAAGTAAATGATTAATATTTTAAATATGTACCTGCTCTCCCTTATTCCCTGCTACCTCCCCCATAAGGGATTAGCCTGGACCAATAGGGTCCTTTCTTTGGTTCCGGTGTGCGGGGCAAATCAGGAACTGAAGAATGATGCAGCTGGTGGGGGCAGGCACAAGTTGCTTTGTAGTAGGAGGAGCATAAAAGGTGACCATGCCCCAGCGTTCTGCCTTTTTTTCACTTGTAAAATCTAAGTAGCGTGTTTCCTATTACCTGGTAATAGAGCTGGAAGTGGCACGTGAAGCACTGCTGTAAGTATGCACTTTTATGTATCTGAAACTTATGATTCAGACTGATAAACTAGCTTAGTGGAAGGCTATTTCTGGCACTACATATCCCCCGATGCTGTGCCAGCATTATGACTGCAAGAGCATTATGGGAGATGTAGTAAACATCTGGATTGCAGAGGATTGCCAACCCCTCTCCGGCACATTTATCATTGATTTCTTGCCTCTTCTGAAAAGTTAAAATGTTATGTACTGCCGGGAAAATAAGCTGTATGTGAATACACATCTTATCTCTTTAAATCAAATGGGTTCGTAATCGCTGTTGTCTTTCTTGCATTGCAACTCTACGTCTGTTTGATTTATTCCATTCAAAGTATGGGGGTTTTACCGCTACAATAGCTCCAGTTAAATCCCCTGGGATTGGAGTTGTAAAACTGTCTAGACCCTTTTGTTGAAGTTTGACTAACCTAAAACCTTTGCAATTTCAGTAATATTTCTTTATTATTATTCTTATTGCAGTAATCGGACGGGGAGGAGAACAGATTTCACGGATCCAGACTGAATCTGGTTGCAAGATTCAGATAGCACCAGGTAAATCTCTTCCTCATGTCAGAGACTATCTCACAACACCAGTTAAAAGGAGCCTGATCTCCTCAAAAAAGTGACTTGTGACATTCCCAGCTGTTTGTGTGCACATTACATAACTTGTACATTTGATTATTTGAGTGCTAGATTGGTGATCTGTGTATTGTATTTCAATGCAAGTAAGCAATTGCTTTAAAGGGACATCAGGATGTGTGCGTTTGATATGCAGTAAAAGTAAATCAATTTAAGAAAAGATACTCTACTCTGAATATCACTTCTCTACAAGTTATTTTAGTTTTAATCTACCTCCTGATCTTACTCTCCCTATAGTTTTCGACTGGGAAATTGTCACACTTGCATGCTTACTAAAATGTCCAAGGGTTTAACACAGTGGCATTTGTGAGTGAGCTTTGCTGTCGTTGAGTTGATTCTTCTGGGTTGAAAAATAATGGGAACACTTGCATAAGTTAATGGAAGCCACTGCTGCATTTGTTAATGGCGTGCTATTTGAAGCCGCTTTTCTCAAGTGCGAAAGTCCCTGTTAATGCCTCTTGGAATCAGGGATTCTGTTGGATAAGGTGATATGTTTTTCTTATACAAAACCTGGACAGCTTTAAACATGCATATTAATCCAACTATGTTTTTTTTTTGTTTTTTTTTAACCATGAGTTTTAATCTGCATCAAGGTTGTGCAGGTGCCTTAAGTGTCCCTCTATCACTGCCTTAATGTTTATACTTGCATCTTTTTTTTTTTTTTTCCTCTACATTCTTTAGTTTTTAGGACAAATTTGAAGTCCTATGCTACAAGCCCGGCTTTAAAATTTAAGGCTAGTGACAAGTGGTAATTTTGAGCCCTGTCTCAAGGTTTATATATCTTCAGAGTGCTTTTTATTGTGTACCGATATGCTGCATTTCTTAGAAGTCTGTTACAAATCTAGACTTATTTATTAGTCAGGATTCCCTATAAGCATATACTTGTGCGTTAGGCACACTTCAGGGTGTGGACTGATAATTATCTGAGGGGAATCTGGCAAGCGTTTGACAATTTCCCAGTCTTTGTATTCTCATATTCATATAATTCACACTGCTTTGTATTTCGTTTTTTTTTTTTTTTTTAATGTTAAATTATTGTCTTGCAGACAGCGGTGGTATGCCGGAGAGATCATGCGTCTTAACTGGTGCTCCGGAAAGTATAGAGTAAGTTTTGTGCTGCGTTTCGGTCCCCTCTTCTTTGCTATGTCCTACTAGGTTTCATAAAAATTCAAAAAATAAATCTTCCTGGAAAAGGAACACTTGGCAGCATGGGAGTTATCTCCATTAGAATCCTTTTGTGCAATATTTGCTGATATAAAATAGCTATGTTGCAAAGTGTAATCTCAGTCAAGTACTCCCCCCAACACACTTTTCCAGCATGCCACCATCCCTCCCTCTTCCTTCCCGAAAGCTACAATCTTGCTTCCACAATTGCTGTGCTTTTTTTCGCTTGGCGAGCGAACACAAAAATGCTTAAAAGTATCACAGCAGGCAGAGGTAATGCAGTTTTATTTTTATTTATTATTTTTTTTTCCCCCCCACGCTGGCCCTGTCATGTGTGCTTGGGAGAGAGCTGGCGCTGGGCATCGTTGCTCCACCTTTTCTTTATTTTAAAGATGCCAGATTTCGCTGCATCCCAGCTTGTCTCTGAAGTTTTAAGGGCGTTTCGAAAGCCCCCGTCATTTTTGCCAGGCTGCTGTGAGCACTGATCTGGAATGAGTGTTATTGGCAACTGCATATTACACAGCAAGCCATAGGGTTTCTGTTTTGTTTTTTTATATATAACCATTACCCCGTCTCTCTTCCTTTTACAGTGAGTCACTGAGATTGTGTTTGAGCTACAAAAACATAGCTGTGACACACATCAGTCTTATTTTTCGATTAATTTAACCCCATTGCAACCAGAAGGAAATGCATATTATGACCAAAACACTTAAAAAATAAAAAAAAATAAAAAGTCCTTAAAAGTATCACAGCACGCAGAGGTAATGCAGTTTTATTTTTATTTATTTATTTTTTCCCACGCTGGCCCTGTCATGTGTGCTTGGGAGAGAGCTGGCGTTGGGCATCGTTGCTCCACCTTTTCTTTATTCTAAAGGTTCTGAAGGTGTTGCTATTTTTATTCACAGGGTTAATCACTAAACATGGTTTTTAGCCAAAAATAACCAAGTTGGAGAATGTTTCCAGTTTAACTGTTTTGATGTATAATTTTCAATTCCCTTGTAATTTACTACAATTTTTAGGTTTAGCGAATAATTCTGAATGTGCTTTTGGCTTGTATATAAATGCGTCCTCACGATTTAATCTAACCGCTCGCTGCCACAGGAGTACAATTGTCCAAATACCATGTCTTGTATAACTAGTTTGCACTCAAGTTGTTTGTTGAGAATGTATTTGTCTTATTGTTCAGAGAGCTATAGATTAAGCCTTTGTCCTTGCCAGGCCTTACCTGTGCGTACATCCCATTACTGTTGACGGCACTCCAGAGCACTATTCACTGATGTGCACTTAGTTTGTTTCACGGTGTGGCTAGGTTTTTTGGCTATTTCAGCTTTAGGAAAGGGCTCCTTAGTGGGTACTGGGAACTGCCTTGAAGCAGTTCAAGGGAATTATTAGTTTATCTAGTATTAAGATTTATTCATAATCTATCTAATTTCATTAGGAGTCATAGGCAGAGTATATATTGACGTTCTGTTCATCTAACTTAGAAAAAGGAGTAACGATACGGCAGCGCTAAGTATCCATCTAATGATGCCATTATGGCTAAAGCGGTTTAACATGTATATCTTTTATATAACCGCAGCTATACTTATTCCCTGCCTACTACCACGTGAGCAAATTGATTACTTAATTTCAACCTCTCCTAAGCAAGAGCTCTTAAATAATACTTTGTAATAATCTATTTGATATAGTGCGGCAACATTACCTAGACACAGTGTCCAGTTTTGACACTCCTATGTGACCTAAATGTATTAACTAGTTCTTTACTGACCTTATATTGAACAGTGTTCACGTTTGTAAACACTTTTTTTTTCCCTTTTTAATCTTCGTTAATAAATTTCTATGTTTTTATCCTAATGAAGTGGCTTCTACCCATTTATAGTAATCTCATAGTGAAACTTCCACACTACTGGATTTCTCTATTTTTTGATTCTATACATCCAATTGCTCCCTTTCTCTTCCTGTAGGCATGCAAAGCGTCTATTAGGGCAAATTGTGGATCGCTGTCGGAATGGACCTGGTTTCCATAACGATATGGACGGAAACAGCACAGTCCAGGAGATCCTAATCCCAGCTTCCAAAGTGGGTCTTGTTATCGGCAAAGGAGGAGAGACCATCAAACAGCTCCAGGTATTTCTCTTCCTACCATTTAACAGTGACTCAAAGATACCCTGTCTTTGTGGCACTAGAGCAACAATGGGGTTAACTGCCCCTACTTGTCATTTTCATTACCAGTGCCTTTTCCCTCATTCATGTGAATTTGCTAATAGTTTGTTCTTGCGGAAGGTATAAGAGGGCAATTATGCTCAGTGTGGTATTTGCTTTGTGGGATGTTAATTTTCAGACGAGTGTTAGCTGTTTCTAATTGGTACTTAATTCTCCGTGTTCTGTTACCTTTTTAAAACTGAGAGAATCTATTTACCTTTTCAACCTTTCCAGTCCTGAGTGCAGGAGAGGGTCTCAGTCACTTTCCTGAGACTAATCTTGCGACTAAAACTCTTGAATGTCATTTTTTTGAAAATCTAGCAAATTAAAGCATCTGCAACTTCCATTTTGTGTCTTTATTTTTCGTAGGTTTTCTGTAAGGGTACTGAAACTGTCACAGCTGCCTTCTAGAAAGGCAGAAGCATGACGTTTCATGCAAATCCCACAATTCCTTTCTCACCTCGGCCAATCTGCCCAGAGAAATACTGAGAGGAGTCAAGGTGCAGCAGATGAGCAATTAAGTTTGTGCATTTGCTAACATTTTCTGGAACGTAGGATTATGGGAAGATTACTTAGATTTGCAGATAATGTGAAAATCTGAGTTTTTCTGGAAATTTCTATTACCTGATTTAGCAAATTGCCTTTATTTACAATGTTGTAAGCTACTGGACAATATATATCTCCTACATTTTTTTAAATAAATGTCTGGCAAGTTTTAGGTACTTACTAAGAAAGCAGGCAGTGGGATGATATTCACATATCTAGTGTCAGGTCAATTAGATTAGGTAATATACCAGGTTGTCAAGACAAATATGAGATTATAAAAATAAATCCTAAAAGTAATGCACATTCAGAAATTTAGAGGGCTGAGTGGCAGTTTCTTCTATTACATTTTATGGAGTAAACGAGTTCATTTCGTATTTTGTTGTGAACATGAAGCTTTTCGCATTTGCAGGAAAGGACTGGTGTTAAAATGATAATGATTCAAGATGGCCCTTTACCAACCGGGGCAGACAAGCCGCTTAGAATCACAGGCGATCCTTTCAAAGTACAGGTATGTGCATTCATTCTTTATTATGAAATGTGGTTGTGATTTTCAGTTGCTGTGCGCATGCATGTTTTTATAATGACTTTGTCCACCCCTACTGCAAGGATTAGGGAAGATTCCCTCTATAGGAAACACTTTCCTATTCTTGGGGAAAGTCATGCAAGACCAGCGACTCTTGAGTGTTTTTCATGCCAGGATAAAGGCTAGCACAGAAGAGCACAATTGTGTTTTGGTGCTGTAAGCTCATATTCACTTTTAGCAAATGCCTATACAAAGATGAGAGGCTGGTGCCCCAAGTGCACCCGTCTGTTGTACAACATGAGAAACTGCTACCCTTCTTAACGCAATTCTTCACTCTATTCTTTTATTCTATAGCAAGCAAGAGACTTGGTTCTGGAGATCATAAGAGAAAAGGACCAGATCGACTTCAGAGGTGTTCGCAGTGATTTCAGCTCCAGGATGGGGGGAGGCAGCATAGAGGTAAGAATAATCTACAGTCTGCCTTTTTGCACCTTTGCAGTATGCAATACTATTCTTGCTTGGATTTCTTTCATTAGAATTTTACATATTAACAGGAGTGTCCCATTTAAAAAAATAAATAAAAAAATTTAATTTCTATCAACAGCCTTTTAACGTTTTTTTTGTTGTTGAATTTTTACATCACTGGGGTTTGTTCCCTTTAGGACATTGGAATCCAGATTGGCTTAAGCCACTTTAACCCTGGTTTGGAATAATATCCCCAGTTATATTAAAATCCTCAAATAGGGCATGGGGAGAGGTGGTCCAGTTTTCACCCCTCCTAAATATTGGGAGTTCATAAAGACATGTTTTCAATCCCCTCTTCTGTGTCCTCATATCAAACGGTCTGCAGGAGGCACACTACATCTAAATAGACCCACCTCCCTCTTTACCCCCCTTTAAAGGAGATATATCATACCACTTTAATTCAAGGCTACTGTCCATCACTTTTGGTGACCCCTTCCACTCTCCAGCTAGTCGCTAATGCTTTATAACAAAGGCAAGCGTTTCCAGACGGTATCCCTTCCCCAAATGTTTAGGAATACTCCCATAATATTCTGATAGTCATATACAAACAGTTCTGGAAGTTATTGTTCAAAGCCACAGGAGCTAAAGGATGCACTGTTTAATCCACACATTACATAATCCAAAGGTGTAAATGGCACTCGATATGTACTAACTTGTTTGTTTTATCAGTATGCAGGGCTATGTAGACCCAGGGTGAATGCTTGCTGTGTTATTCTCCATAGGCACTAAACCCATCTTGTGTTACCGGCCAGGTCTCCGTACCAAGGTTCGCTGTGGGAATTGTAATAGGAAGAAATGGGGAGATGATCAAAAAGATTCAGAATGATGCGGGAGTGAGAATTCAATTCAAACCAGGTTTGTGATCATTTCTGTCCTCTGTAGGGTCTGGTCTACAACACTCTACGCAGTACTGGCATTGTTAAAACATTGTTTTTTATGCATTAAGATAATGTGGATATAATTGATATGTATGCAAACGGGTTGTTGATCCAAGGAGAAATTGGATTACCAATATGGGTTTTAAAGTAGAACCTGATGGACCTATGTAACTCTAACATGTGGAACTCAAAAAAATCTACCTCTAATTAACAAACATATGTAGCCATGGTAATACACTCGCTTAAGTATTACCACAGTACAACTTACAGAATGTGCACAAATCTTTGTTTACATTATATAGAAAAAAAAGGATTTAAAAAAAAAGTAAACATTTTTAAATAGGGGTTTTTTTTTAAATTTGGGAAAAATTCTCCCCTTTTGGGAATATGCTTAAACTATTTGTACAAATATAAATGCATACAGAAATGAATGAACCACATAGATCACTCTACTTATACATTTGTATTGTATATAAAGCAAGAATTTCTCAGGAAATAAATTCTTGTAACAGCAGAATTATGTAGAGTTGCTTTAAACTTTGAAAATGTCTCCATATTCCTGAAGGTTTGTTCAAAAAGTTAAAGAAACTGCATCCTTAAAAACAAAATTCCTTTGAATGCTATAAAGTGCTCCACAACAGTTAATGTATCAAAATCAACAGAAATGGAGAGAAATTAGAAAAATAAAATTGTGTGGTGGTACGGGGACGGGGGGACTTGTTTTAACTATTTTGTACAACGAGTACTGTTTATACACATTTGAAAAAAACGTAACCAAAAAAAGGTAAGATTATTAGCTGATCTACATATAGTTCACAAAAAGGGTGACTCACCTATACATTGCTGATAGTTTGAGGGGGGGGGGAAAATCACATGTGATATGTCAAGCATAATCTTAATATCGAAAAGGGGGGGAAATATTGTGAAGAATTTGACACACACACTTAAGTTATATATAAAGCTTATCTATTTAGAGCAAACAGTCTTTTGAAAAGGTTAGATCTCACCCAAGGGCTGGGAACCAGGGCTGCTGGCTTGAAGGTGTGTGTTCTTTGTGCCTTGAGGGCCGCATGTTTTGGACTTGTTGGTTCCTTCAATGGTTCTGGAGGAGCAGAAGAACATTTTAGCTTAATGTACCTTGTTACTACCCCCCGACTTCCAAGCAGACAACTGACCCTGTGACTTCCTGGTTGTTTATCAGTGGATAAATCTCAAGAGGTAACAATTGCCCAGAGCACCTGCATTGCAAAGATATTTCTCATTGAGTTACATTGGCATGTCTGATTGGACAGCCACAAAAAGTCTGGGTGGGGTTAAGAGGGGGGCTTGTATAGGCTTCAGACAAGATTTGAAGCTTTTGCAAGCTGTTATTAGATACAACTCCAATGAAAACGAGAATAAATAATTTTAAAAAAGCATGCAAGTTTTCATTTGGGGTATATCTACTAAACCGTGATATTTGGGAAGTGGAGGGGGTGGAGTTTTGTAAGGTGAAACAATAAGGACGTACCTTATTAAGATAGAACAGTGTATGGGGTTTATTTAGCTTAGTGGTTCCTAACCACTAATCCACGTGCTATTTTACTAAGTTTCCAATGGTTGGAACAGAAAAATTTATATTACAGTGAAAGGTGTTTTGCAGAATTAGCTTTGAGATATATACAATAACAGAATGAGTCACCATGTTAATTCCAAATGTCATTTGTGGCACTTAAAGCTGAAGTGGGAGGAGGGATTAAGGATTTAGTTGTAGTGTGTTTAGGGTTTATTAAAGAGTACCTAGTAATATCAATGTATGCTTTTTTTTGAGTATAAAAAAATCTGTCAATACACTGTGCTGGCAAATTTGCTAGAAAATGTATAGCTTGGTTTAAAAATAGGTTTTTCTCCCACCAATCAGTCGATTCTTTGGTAAAGACTTTGTGTTAAGGAATTGAGTGATGGAGAGCAGAACACACTTCCCACCAATGGTCCTTATACTCTCCAAGCACAGCAACCACAGAGCATGCTCTGTATTTGCTATGGTAACTCCCTAATTGACGCCGTTACCGCTGGTCAGGGAGTATAGGAATCGAGTGATGACCCTTCGTTCAGACTCCAGCATCACATATTAGGTTTGCCCTGGTTGAGACACTGATAAGTGAGTGTTACATGGACAAGTGGGGACAAATAGACCACAGCTTTGCTAATGAAGCTTTTCTATTTTATTTTTTATTTTGTCTGTGGTTTTCAACACTTGCTACATAAGAGGTCAGTAACTTACAGACTTCAATTTGCAAATATGAATGATATTCTTGTATATTAAAGAGCTTATTGCCCAGCCCTCTGCTAAACACTTGCTATGTGTGCATTTAAAAGATGCTTGTGAAAGGACAGAAAGGGATACCCGATTATTCCTTGTTCTATCCACTTTGTTTACGTTCTACATTCTATGTATGTAAGAAAAAATCCTACTGGTTTGTTAGCAAAGCAGGCCGTTCCATGAAGAGTTCTGCTAAATCACATTTGTATCTCGGCAGATCTGTTTATTGCAAGTGGCTAGGTTACTTTTTTTTTGTTTTAGTTATATACTTTGTACTTGCCTCCTGCAGATGATGGAATCAGCCCTGAGCGAGTGGCGCAGGTAATGGGCCTCCCTGAGCGATGTCAGCATGCTGCCCATATAATTAACGAGCTCATTATAACAGCACAGGTGAGTGATATAGAGAAACTTGGTTATATGTTGGGATATCCCATGAATATTTACTCCAAAACACTTAATTTTTACCTATATTCCATTGTCTGCATGTGATAACATACAAGGCAGTTGTTCTCTCCATTTTCTTATACTGATCAACGTGGTTTGACTTTTTAGCTGTATCTATAAAGATGTCAAGGATGATCCGTGTTTTTCTTTCTGCCTTAAAGGGACTCTCCGGCTCTCTAAAGCAATTTAACCTGCTGTGTGAAGAGTATGTGTCCTGTTTTTGAAAAGTCTGTGATTGGACAGGCACAAAGTTTTGTCTGGGGATGAACGGCGCAAAGGCTTTAAAGCTTCAGACAAGGGAACTGCATCTTTTGCAAGCCGTTTTTATATATTCCCCTAATGGGAATTTTTTTTATAAATGCATGTTTTCATTTGGATTATATCTACTAAACCAGGTGTAGGCAACCTTCGGCATTCCAGATGTGAACTACATCTCCCTTGATGCTTTGCTAGTATTGTTGGTGTTAAGAGTAGTATGGTAGCTCTGGAGTGCTGCAGGTTACCTACCTCTGTACTAAACGTTTTTTTATGAAACCAAAAGCAATATTTTGGCAGTGTAGTGTCCCTTTAAGGCCAACGTGGTTGTCTACTTTTAGGTCACCTTTGTTTGAGTTTGAGTTTTTTATGCTTTTTTTTTTTTTATGTGCACGGCTTTGCCAAGGCAATCCTTTGCATGTCCCCTTATCACTCAACAGGTTCTTTGTGTCATTCACACATGTTCTTAAAGCCTTATTGAATACAAATAAGCCTAAAATACAAAAATAATTCCTTTCCTCTGCTGCAGGAGCGTGATGGTTTTGGAAGCCTTGCTATGGCCCGTGGAAGAGGGCGTAGTCGTGGCGATTGGAATATTGGTACACCTGGAGGAATGCAGGAGATCACGTACACTGTGCCAGCAGATAAATGTGGACTGGTGATTGGCAAAGGTAGGAAAAAAGATGTGGAAACATTCCTTTTTGCACAAACTATATTGCTGTGTTAGAGTGAAAATAGTGGTCTTGCTAGTTGTTGGTACCTTGACTCCAGTGGCTGGTTGTTCTAGGCTGGCATCAAGAGTGGATATAGTTTCAGATTGAACATACAGCTAACATTTAATATCTAAGAGCTTAGTAATTGTCTGCCTTCCTTTTAGCTAATTTTATCTGATTCTGTTTTTTATCTTGGGCCTGTTTCACCTTCAAAATCTCTAATTTTTTTTTATTTTTTTTATAATTTTCTAAAATTGAAAGTTACTATTATTAGCAGATTCTGACTGAAGCTTCCAATGCTAAATATGCAGAAAATATTTGCTGGCATAAGGACTTTTGTCAAATCAACACTTATAGGAACACTGTAGTCACCACATGGAACCTTGGGTGCCAGGTTCTGTATCACTACCGCAAGGTTTACACACATTTAGAAGATTCTCAGCCATTTCATCATTAAATGCTCGGTTTCAGGCAGAGATGGAGCTATTCACCACTCTCCACCATACAAGGGCTTGAAGGCAGTGATTGGCTGAAAGCATCAGCTGAGCTTTTTCAGACCGTAACTGAATGGGTAAGGCGTGAGATAGAAGCATAGCTATGTCACTTTATGGTAGGAGGCCAGGCTTCGGGCTTCCATAGAACAACGAATATCTACTGAAGGGGAAATAATGGTGCAGGCTCTGAGTTCTGCAGACTCCAAACACCATAACTACTTTGAGCTTTTGAAATGGTTGCGATGCCTTCAGTTAAAGATTTAAATAAAGAATGCAATTTAATTGGTTCACTGCAATTCAAAGCTATGTTTTAAAAGGCAGTATAACAACTTCATCTGATTGAAGTGGTTATGGTGACTGGCGTCCACAGGTGCCAGATACTGCATCTTTGTTAAATGTTTTATTCAGTGTTTAGCAGAGATTCTTGGTTCCCTGCAGCCTGGCCCTCAATTATATTATAGAGGTGGTTTTATGCTGATACCATACCAATTTGTACCAGGGATTGCAAGTGCTAAACTGATAGAGCTCTTAGCCTATCGCTACCCGTTACCAGTGGTATAAAGAATCTCTATCTTTGCTATATTGTAATTGGAGGTTGGCAGCCAGGGCATAAGCATCTTTGCCAAACAGTGAGTAACTTATTTTGATGTGGGATCCAGTGTCTGCAAACTACAGGGCACCATACTTACTCCAGCCAAAATTCTTATGGTGCCTAGTGTTTAAGTGTAAGGGGTTTCTGTATTCAGGCTTGCATTGTCGCTGATTTTCCCTCTTGTACCCTGGAACCTCTTCCAAATTATTTGTAGGTATGGAGTAATCCCTATTGATTGCTATCCTGGAACCTTCAAAGGTCATGTTACCTGTACACATGAAGCATAGTTACTGGCTAATTTTATATTTGAGCATATGGAATGTATACTACATTACGTTAGATAATCTTGTTGGGGGGCACCATTCCCTAGTTTGGAATGGTGCCAATGTCCACAGTTTTTTGTTTTTGTTTTGGGTTTTTTTGTACTGTACAGTATAATTACTTTTGGTAGTTTTTGATTGTTTTTTATTTTTTGGGGACAGCAGTGTGGGTAGATGAATTGTTAAATGCAAAATTTAAATTCAGAGTAGTAAAGTCTTGCTAAAATGTAACCTGCAGTGAATGTTTTTTCCTTATTTGGAACAAACATTTTGGCTAATGATTGTCAAAAATTAAAAACGTATTTTAAACTTGTCACAGAAGATGTTTAACTTAACCTCATAGAAGCCAGTTTAAAGCATTCCTGCTGCGGGAACGAGCAAAACAGAAGTTCTTGGTGTTTGAGAGGTCTGCCCTACTTCTTTTCATGAATCAGTCAAATTTCCATGATAAACCCCGTCAATGACAGAAGGGACTGACAGCCCAAATCTGTCCACTCTGCCTTTTAGCTGCCATGATTAATTGCTTTACGATTTTCCATCCAGCTGGGGGGGGCTGGTCTTCGAGATCAAAAGTGGGGGCAATGCGTAGCTCCCAGCACCTATTCTCTATCCTCTGGCCAGTATGTATGAGTAGTTTGGAAGGAACTCCCAGACAGCACCACAATCTCAGGACAACCTTGCCTTGTGGTGTAAAGTAATAGTCAAGGTTATCCTAAACACAGCAAGATTGTCAGTTCAGAAAACTACATTGTCACACTGTTTCTAGTTGAGAGTCAAGGTTTTTTTTCTGTATTGTTATACTAAATTAAATAACCAAATAACATTTGCTAGATTTCAAGGTTGTAGATGTTTCCTAACTCAATGGTGCTACTCATCCTTCATACTCCACTCCCCGCCATTCTAGTTTGTGAGAATCTGTGGATAACATATAAAGTTTTTTGAAAGCTCTGGCAACTTCATGGAGAAGTTAACTTGTTTTATGTCTATGCTATACTGCCCCCACTTCCAGCACAATAGTTTTAAGGCCAGCGAGCCATTCCTATAAGTAGCGTGAAATTCCTGGCTGTAAACTAGCTTTTCTGGGGTTTTACAGGACACTAATTACGAGGGCAGTTAACACACTGGTTCAACAAATGATAATCAATTTTTACTTTTCCTGTGAGTGCTGGCCGCTGCTGTTAGGCGTTAATTTATATTGTTGAGAGACAGAAAAAAAAAATTGGTTACTACTGAGGCATTCTATAATAACGTGGGGCTGTAAAAAAACACTGGTTTTGGGGTTAAAATTTTAGCTCCTTCGTTGCCATGACATTGCAATTTAAGTGGCTGAAATCGTTATCCGTATATTGTTAGGGCCGACCGGGCCAAACAAATGGATGTTTAACTTATAATTGACCTTACATTTGTTCAGAAGTTTAGTGCATGTGAATTGTCAAATTTGAAATAATGCAAACTTTAGACACCAGAGTCAGTGTTCTGGAAGTACCGTGATTTTGCAGGAACAGTCTTTTGGTTTCCATGTTGATTGCTAAATGTATTTTATTTTTATTTTTTTAGAACTTTGCTCAGAATCCTACTGATGTGATGTCCTAATTTAAACACTTATTTTTAATCTGCCATTTGTTTGCCAACATACTATAATACTGTTATATATAAATGTCTTCAAAATCTAGTGTGTTTAAACCATTGTATGGCACATGACACTTTGATTGTCAAACTTCTATCTATCTCTAACTTTGTTTGTCAATCAATCAATGCTTGTACATATAGATATCAAATGTGCTGAGAACTTTACTTTAACGAGCTATAATATCATGCCTATAGAATTAATCTCACCTGCTGTTTGTAGTGATTGCTTTACTGCAGTGAGCTATCCCAGGCACATGGCCCTTTGCCTTGCTAGAAAACTAAAAGATCAACGTTAAAATGCAGTACCAGGTCCAGTGGCATGTTTGTCTTTGAGCTGCTGCTTCAGCTATTTAGAAATATGGAGTGCTCAGAACAGATGCCACATCAGTAGCAGTCTGGTCCCTGATTCAGTTTCCTGGGAATGGCATGTTTGAGTTTGGGTAACAATTTGTACTTGAACTAATGACTGGGCCATTCAGAAGTTGCTAGTCATTAAAGTAAAGGCCTGTTTGGAAGTGTAATGACTCTTTGTGTGATGCCGTGTGTCTAGCCCTGTTCGTTGGGTGTGTAACAGAAACCGTGTCATAATTGATTATTCTTGGTCTGTACTTGTTTGATGGATACATTCTCCTCCATATGGCTGTGGAGACAACCTACATTGAAGTACTTTGTGTATACCACCTCCTTTTTCTTAACCCCGTCCCAGTGCCTGGAGCATTCTTTCAGCTTTGACTGCAAATCCTTCACACATTCTGTGTATGTATAAATACACATACCCCCTCTCTCCCCCCCACACACACACACACACACACACACACACACACACACACACATACATAATTTTTAGTTTTCAGTTTTCAGGCAGACTTATCAAAATAAAAATATATATATGGTAACAGTGATTTGCAGATCATTGTTCAAGTGACGATTCATCTGGTTTGATTGTCTCTACAATGGAAAAAAATTAAATTGAAAAACAGCTTGTTTATACTTTTTTTTTTTTTTTTTTCTCTTTGCCTGCAGGTGGTGAAAATATCAAAAGCATAAACCAGCAATCAGGGGCCCATGTCGAGCTCCAGCGAAATCCTCCTCCCAATACAGACCCAAGTGTACGGATATTCACCATCCGAGGCGTCCCACAACAGATTGAGCTGGCAAGACATCTCATTGATGAGAAAGTCGGGGTAGGTTACATTTGGCATTAGAGGTGTCAGTTTTTCATCTCCAACTTATTTTATTTTTTTCCTAAGCATGGGCACAGTTAGGCATTTAGGGATGGGGTTGAGGGAAAATAGACTTAAATAAATTTCTACCAAAATAGATTGCTCTGGATTTTGTAAAAACAGACTTGTTCCCATTTTGCGTTGCAGTTGCACAGATTGAGCAATTTCTGGAGCAGGTTATTTTCAAGCATTCTGGAACGTGTTTATCCAAAAATAGTGCTCCAGCTATTGAACAGCAACTGCTCATGGGGTGGCTGTTTTTGTTTAGTTTTTTTGTAGTTCTTTATTGGTACCCTGCTCAACTTCAATGGTTCTGAACAAATCTTTTAAATTCCTGGCCAATTGGAAATTGGGGGAGAACATTCGCCTTATTCCCTTATAACGGCAATATCCATAGAACTTGTTTCTATTGGAGGTCATTACAAAGTAATGTTCTAGATGAACAGTACTGCTTGGCTGTTTACTTTCATTAGATCTGTCATGTTGATTCTCCTTGGCGTTCTTTGCAAACATCTAGCACCTTACTACATTTAATACTAACTTTTTTTTTCTTTTCTTTTTTTTGTAGGGTACAGCAATAGCTGCCACCAGCAGTTTCGGCCAGAGTCCTTTCAACCAGGCACATGCAACACCTCATCAAAAGTAAGTTTGTAGTGCTGTGATTCTCTGATGCACGTCTTTGCTCTGTTGAACAAGATGTGTCCAATTGTATTTGATGAGAACAGGATACTAAGATAGTGTACGTAGCTTCCAAAAAAATCTGTTTTGTCCTTTTTCAGGTTCCACTAAAGTTCTAATAAAATTGAGTAGTAAAATGAACGTGTTGTGTGTTTACCTAATTTATCATGTTAGTTGGATGTATACATCCCAACTGGTGCCCAATATGTAGGGCTCTTAGTGTAAAACACTATTCTGTAGGCTTGACTGTTAATAATGGTCTGGATTTTTAGCGATAAACTCAGTTTATCGTATTGACTGAGGCCTGACATGCCACTTAAAGTAATTTTATGTTCAACTCTGCTTCCATCTGATTATATTACAACTGATCTATGTAAAGTGCCCTTCATAGCAGCTTTCAATAAGAATTGATTACCTATATGTATATGCCGAGTTGAGATTGAATATTAATGGACTTGTGCCCTTCTTTCCCCTCCAGTGGTCCTCAGGCGTTTGTTACCCAGGGTTGGGGCAGCACTTACCAGGCATGGCAGCAGCCTGGGCAGCAACTTCCAGGTGAGTTACATACTGTAGATTTAACCTGGCAAGTCAGTGGTAATTATTTTCCATTTGGATTACGCCCTGTACTTTTAAATGAACATGACGATCACCATGACCACTACAGCCGCAGGAGTGCCCTAGCACCCTTCTATAGTAGTAGAAGTAGTCAGTCTGTTCAAGAACAGTTTGACTGCTTACCTGGGGTTCGCCAGGTGCCTGCAGCCGCCTCCCTTGATGTCGGAAGTTCCTTTACTGAGCTAAACTCTCCAGTGCCCTAGTGGTTATGGTGCATTAATTGTTCCTTTATGAGCCCACTATACCTACTAACAAATATGCATTTCTGTCTGGTTTTTGGCTGGTTGAGCATAATGGGTGCCATTCAACACTTATTTAAAAAAGCAGTGCTCAAGTGTTCTTTAGGAAGTGATGGTAGTTAATAGCATAATTGATTAGGTAACATAGTACAGTTTTGTGCATTATACTACTTCTCTACAGAGGGATTTGGATAAATTAGGGGACTGGCTGAGCAAGTGGCAGATGATTCAAATGGATAAATGCAAAGTAATTCATTTTGGAAAAGAAACGCACACATTTAATGAGGGTGAGTTAGGGATCGCGTAAATGAGAAGTAATTTAAGAATGATAAATTACAAACTAGGCAACAGTAGGTAATGCCGGTCTGCCATTGCAAAGGCTACCAAAGTGTTGTCATGTATATTAACTTGTTCAAAATAGAATTTTGCCTCTTTGTAAATGAATGGTAAAATCCCACCTTGAAAATGCGGTGCATTTTTGGGCACCAGTTTTAAAAAAGGACACTGCAGAATTAAAAGTAGGTGAGCTACAAAATTAAAAAGGGGGATGGAAAACTTTAGTTATAAGGAAAGTCTAGAAAAACTGAATGTGTTTTGAAGGGCTGATCTCAATGCAATGCGTCCTATGAGAAGTTTGTAAACAAGCCTGAGCTTTCATTCACACTTGTGTTCCTTTAGCCCCTTAAAGGACCACTATAGTGCCAGGAAACACACTTGTTTTCCTGGCACTATAGTGTTAATAGGTCCCCTCCTCCCGCCGGGCTCTAGGGGAAGGAAAGGGTTAAACACTTACTTTTCTCTAGCGCTTGGCTCCCAAGCTGCGCGTGCATTCAATCAATAGGAAAGCATTTCTCAATGCTTTCTTATGGGCGCAAGCATCGTCTCACTGTGAAAATCTGTGAGAAGCGCGGATCTGCCTCTAGCGACTATCAATGAGAGCCACCAGAGGCTGGATTAACCCTCAGTGAAACATAGTTTCTCAGAAACTGCTATGTTTACAGCTGCAGGGTTAACCCTAGATGGACCTGGCACCCAGTCTGGGTGTCTATAGTGGTCCTTTAAGGACACAGCTTCAGAAATAAAAGGGAATGACAGAATTTCCGTAATGTGTCCTTAAGGGGTTAAAGATCCATGCTCTCTGATTATATTTACTTTAGTCTATGCCGTTTCCAAGGTAAAATGGACTGCTGTCTCTCTTCCACCTACGCAGCCATTCTCCACCTAATGGAGAGAAGTACCATTAAGTGTAGCTGCCGTTATGTCACTCAGTTGAAAGTACTGCGCCTTGTGTTCCTAGAGGAAGAGAAATTGGTGTTAATAGGTTGAGTTACAATCCAATGCATCTTGCAGGGAGATTATCACAATAGTCACTGGTGCTTTAATGACCATTTGACAACCTTGTATAATCTTAGTAAATGACAGGAGCTGTGTTAGAAATGTAAAATAGAATTGTTTTGCTGGCAGGTTTCTGCAATTGCTCTCTGAAAACATGACACATTCGTCTAGGCTTTGAAAAGTTCAAGACACATTTTATCTTTTTACTTAACATCATTCTGTTGGATGTGTACCTTCTGTTGATTAGACGCTGCTTTATTGAAATGCTAGGGTATACTTTATAGCGAACACAGTCTGCTGTCATAGGCTGACCTATTGCAGGAAATCATAGCACTTTGCATCCACACAGCACCCCCGCAGTGGATCTTCCAATGCTACTTACCAGATTTTGCTTCATTTTACATTAAATAAGCGATGTACTTGACAGTTTCTTCCATTATCTGTAATGTACAGTGATCTAACGCTGTAGTTATAAATGTCAACCAAAACAGTTATTAAATTCATCTGCCTTTGTGATATAGCTATATCTATATAGCTATACACAGTGATTTGTTTTTATTTTTTTTAGTCTAAAATTCTGCCTTTTTTTGCCTACACTTTGCAAGTTTAACGTGTAGTGAATTAAATTACTCTCCTCTCATTCGAATTCGACTTATTTGAAACATTTCTAGGTTTCTCCAACTTAATAGTCATGTAAGCCAAATCAGACTTGTTGACTTGACCGTCCTTGCTAAAGGGAGCACTCTGATAAATTTGTGCAGTTTTTGGACAAGGAACATCTAGGCTCTGTGTAGGTTTCTTGCAGAGTCAAATCACGCTGAACACGCCGGTGGGCTAGACAGTTTTCTACTTTGGTATCCTGTATAGAATGCTGCTGGCCTGCTCTTTGTTACATCTACCTCATTGTTTGTAGCTCATCTCTTTGCAAAACCAGAGGGGAGCGTCTGTAAACCATTCATGGCCCAACTGGTGAACTAATTGAGCGAGTCCTTTCTCCTCCCACTCTTTCCTTAATAAGTGATCTAAACATTTAGGTTTTATTGCCTTTTCAGCCCCCCACCCCCTTTACCTTCTGTATTAAATACCCAATGAGGTGAAGCATGCCGGCTTGCAGTCCATTAATTGGCGTGTCCCTCAATGACTTGCTGATGAAAGCCATTCACGGGGGTCCTTTTTGTTCAAATTAGCAGGTGGACACTTTGTATGACCCTGAGCCATGCACAATGGGGACAGGGGGCTGACTTGTGGCATTGGTCATTTCTCAAACCGCCCTTTAGGGTTGCTACTCCAGAATGCTGGCTTGGGTCTTTCTTTTTCTTCGTTAAATGAGCATTCATGCAGCATGTTCCTTTTTATTTCAAATACTGCAAATCTATTATAGATTGTGTTTAATGGGGAAAATAGAGAAGAAAAATATCCTGGTTCGCTATCATCTCCCCTGTCACAATCTGTCCTGCAAGGGGACCCAGTCCAAGTTAGAAAAGAAGGCTAATTATCCGGGATTGATTGTTATAGCCTTAAGCCGTTGAACTGACCAGTTTTTGGTCTTGTAATGGAGCACTGAGACTTGTACAGGAGTTTATTTGCTATGGTGGGAATTGAGGATCACCGACATGGGAATTACACATTTTAAGGCAAAATCTCACAAATAGTAACTAAATTCTTAAATTCAGCCATTTGTCCTGTTTTAGCCTAAAATGTAATGTCAATTTTTCGGTTTTCCTCCAATTCTGTGGCAAATTTAGTGCAAATAAAACTAGTGATCCCAGTCTGTGAACATGTGCAATTTGTGAAAGTGGAAATACTATATCATATGTCTAGGTGCAGAATTGACTCCAGCAAAAGTGTAATATCAAATGTCTGAATAACACCAAAGGTGTCTATTTTCCGCAAATTGCTTACAACAGTCTGGTATAAATCCTATTGTTCCAGGAGAGCCTGCTCCATGCATATTATCCATTGCAATCATAAATTTCTTTTGCTTTGCTTGCTGATCTTTTTTTGTTTTGGTTTTTCCAAATTGCTGCTTATGTGTGTTTGAATTCTCCCTTTGGCTATATGTGAGGGTTACCTATGACCAGTGGTGTATATGTTAAATTGATGAGACTGACTGTACTAAGTGGGAAGCAGGAGAGCTAAAATAAGTTCCTGCTGAGGAACTTCCGGCGCTCTCGGATGGTAGTGGAGGCAGGGAGCAGCGAGCAGCAGACATCTGGTAAAAAGTCAAACTGTTTAAAAACGGTTTGTCTCCTTACAGTGGGGTGGCCAGAGTATTAATGGCACCAGAACCACTTCAGAAAGCTTTTGTGGTTATGGTACTTGGAGCGTTCCTATGACATTTAATACTATTTCACCCAGTTGCAGTAGTGCCCTCTCCATTTCCTGCTTTACATCCCTTGCAGGGCAGCTGTGTTTTGGTACGGTGGGTCATGTGACATTTGGCTGTTGAGATGTAGTCATCACCAACAGTAGTTTGACAGCTGCTAATCTACCTCGGGACGTCAGACAGTTGACTGCATTTCCCAAGATTGCTTGGCCAGCCTTAAAACTTAGTTTGTGTCTGTGCATTGGTTGCACGGCATACCAAAGAGACATTCAAAGCTCAACATTGTCACGTGTTAATGCTGCATTTTAGAGAGAGAGGTTTTAAAGATGTTCTAAAGAAATCGTGTAATTAAGTTCATCTTCCCACCTGCTCACCTCTACAATCCTTCCTGCATACAGGTCAGCAAAGCCAGCAGCAGAATGCTCAGCCAGATTATAGCAAGGCTTGGGAGGAGTATTACAAGAAGCAGAGTAAGTACACAGCCATTGACAAGTTAAGTCCTTGGTACAGTGATGGTAGTCATACCTTAATTACCAGAATAGTTTTAACCCATTAAAGGGATGCTCCAACCCAATTTTTTTTTTTTTTTTGGAAACTTTATTTTTCTACATAAAATACTCTTGGGCACTATTTATTCGATCCTCTCCTACATTTTGCAGTAAAGCCTGCAAAAAGAAGGCATGTTACCTGGAAACCAGCGCCATGGACAAAGCTTCTAGCGCTGCCGTCCACTCATCCAACTGTCAGCAGAGCCTTGCGTTGTCCAATCAAAGTTTTCTCACAGATACGTTTTTGCTTGGACTGGTTCATAGCGCATGCGCGAGCACTGAGCCAACGTAGGGAGCGGATTTTCAATTTAAAAAAAAGAATAGTGCTGATGTATTGAGAACCTCAATAAGTCCGTTGCCAGATAGACGTATCTTTTTGCATAGAGTTGACATTTGTCAGTCCAGTCACGTGTTCCGGGGAACTAAACCGTGCAGCGTATCAAGCTGCAACAGTGCACATACAGACTCCTACCACACTGACCACTTCTAAAACTGAAGTGGTTAAGGGCGATGGAGTAACCCTTTAAGCGTCAGGTAGTCAAAATAGGATCCTTCTGTGACTGTAGATCTGTGTTTTTTGTATTTTGTTTTGTTCTGCTTTGTGTTGTCAGTTTTACCCTAAGGATTGCATAGTCCATACTGTGATGAATTGTCATTGGTTTTTAACTTCCTAGCAGTGCACGCTGATATGCTTTGGCTTAATTTTTATTGGCTTGTTGTGTGCAGCCTTACTTTCAAGATTGATTTAGTTCCCTCTTTAGTGTGGGAAACTAAATTGGAAGCTTGCATGCGTGTATTTATAATCTCATGAGAGTGTTTTTTTTTTTGTTTTTTTTCCCCAGATGTTTTAATTTTCTGTTTCTTCTCTTCTTTTTAGATCAAGCTGCCACAGCCACCTCTCAGCCAAGCTCACAACCAGACTACACGCTTGCTTGGGCCGAGTATTATAGACAGCAGGCTGCTTATTACGGGCAGTCATTGGGGCAGACTCAAACCCATAGCCAGGTGAGTAGCACTACAATGTAAAGCGGTCTGTCCTTTTATGTTAGCCTTACGTTGTTAGTATGCTATCCAAAATAAACTACTGCTCATTTTAAGTGCTACCTCTGTCCTATTGCAAGAAATAGCATCTCACATCTTCATTATATTAAAAAAAAATATATAGATCTGTCTGTCTTCCTCCTCCAACACTGGGGTTCACACTGTAAATAGTTCAACAGCTGAAACCTAGCTTAATCCAAACCAGAAATTAGAGCCTTAACCAGCTTAGATAGCTGGGGTGTGACAACCTTCCTCTGTGTTCAGCTATGGAATTGTATGCAGTTTGAAATCAGTAGGAAATTCTGTGAATGGTTCAAGCAGGGCAGGTTTTTTTGTTTTGTTTAGATTTTTTTAATTTGTTTTGAGCCATAACAATTATACATGATGACTCATCCCTTTTTTGTAAAAATAATCCCTCCAATGATTTTCTTTAAATTTGGTGCTGACCCATGTATCGCCGATTTTAGGTCTAAGATTTTCTGTATGTAAATAAATGTCAGACATCTGGTATAAAAATAATTATTAAAATCAAATCTGCAAAGTTGTGAAAAAAAAAAATTCTGCATGGACCAGGACGGCTGTAGAAATAACTCTCTAAAGTAAAGTGATTTTTAACAAATGTGCAAGCTTTTTCTGGAGGGCCATCCATCCAGAACCCTACCACATTGCTAGTGCAGGCACTTATCTGAGTTGCCTTACTGGGGTTTAGTCAGGAAGTCCATTACATAACGAAAAGGTGAGTTATCTGTTGTTCTGTTGCATCTGAACTGGCACCATTTGGTTCAGTAATCTTCAAAAGAATGTGAGGGTGTAACTATCCCTATCCGTCATCACAACTTAGATTGTATAGGCAGGTGCTCTCATATACTTGTGTTTCAGTCTAATGTAACTCGGTCTCTAATTTGTTTTTAATGCTTGTTTTCCAGGAGCAGTGAGAACAATTGTCCAATTGATGAAAACTTTCATTTTTAATTTTTATCCCACTTGGAATCATTGCAGAAGACAGACCTTAATTTGTAACTGGTTTCTAGATTTTCAGAAATTTTGAAGAAGACTTTCTGTTTGTAAAACACTAGTCATATAGTTTAAATCTATACTGAACTTTGCTAAGAATCAAGATTATATAATATACTAAAGATATAAACTTGCTGGGAATTGTTTTATTTTGTTTTTTGGGTTTTTTTTTTTTTGGTTTTTTTTTTGGGCGGGGGGTTGTTTTGTTTTTGTGTTTTTTTTTTTTTTTCACTTTTTGTGTTTCCTACCCTTGAAAAAAGTGTTAACATGAATTCTTTTTGGAACCGACAAATTTAAATATATATATATATATAAATATAAATATCTATTCCTTCACTGTGTAGCCTCTGCCCCCTGTGGTGCTGATATTGAAACATATTTGTCTCATATTTTTTTTTTTTTTTTTAAATTAAATGCATTTTCTTGGACAATACAATTTTGAAGGTCTTATCTCAAACATTTAAAAACAAAACAAAAAAGGAGAAAAAAATGTGTACACAGGTCCTAAATTTTTTTAAATGTGTATTTAAATATTCTTAACTGTAAATTCATTAAATGTTTTACGTCTAATTTTCTGATATTATGACTGTATTTGATTTTATTGCATATTTTTTTTAAAGAGCATTAATAATCCGTGTTACCTGGTTTTGAATTGTCATTCTGAATACCGAATATTTGAATCTGTTTCTTGAGACAAGTATTGTGTGTGGGGAAATTAGGGGAGGGGGGAGCAGGGTCATATTTTGTAGGATTTGTATAATACCTAGGGTTTTGAAGGGTTAATATAAAAAGATTGTTAACCCTATTCCTGTCAGATTGAACTGTGATTCATTGCAGAGCAATGGCAAGGCTTTCTGGCAGGGCAGGGGTACATTTTATAAAGCAATGTTTATCAGTTATGTTGCCTCTGTATATTGGACATCAAGCTATAACATGAAATGACCTTTTTTTTCTGCTGTCAAAAATATAAATACTATTATTTTTAATATGAATAAATCAACTGTTAGAATCTCTAATGCAAAACACTGTGGAACCTTTAACAGTATGGAAAAGTTTAAAGAATCGTAATAACTATTTTTAACTCCAGGGTTCATGAATTTTTTGGGGGTATTGTTTTTTTTTTTTTTTTTTTAGTGTTTTCTTATCTAATTGTCGAATTTACCATAGAAAATATAAATAGTATTAACCACAGTATGTGCTAAAAAATACTTTTTGATTTAATAAAAGGGATATGATTTTGAATGTTGTAGTTTTTTTTTCTTGTACAGATGACTGTATTTTTGTGAGCGAAAATGGAATTCATGCTAATTTTTTGTGTGCATTTAAAATTAATCTATGGGAACATTCCTTTGATTTTGGTTTTTTTTTGTTTTGCTTTTTTGCATTTTGTTTTTTTTGTTTGGGGGGGTGGGAGGGGCTTTACTTTTTCCTTTTATGCCTAAAATGTTTAACTAAAAGAAAAATCATGATTGGATGTTACAGAGAGATGTCTTATTCATCTGACAATTGCATTTTACACTCTATATAATAAAAATGCCCCAAGGCTGCTTGTGGGTGAAAATGTTATATAGTCTGGATTGTGTGTGTAATTTCTTCTTAAATATGACCGCTTTCAGTTTGGTACATTAAAGCAATAAAAGAGATTGCCAAGTTTACATTAACACACTTCTCTCCCTTCCACACTTTATAGAAATGTTTCTTATACAGTGTGTGATGCTGCAAATTCTGTCGTCCTGCTCAGCAGGACTGTATGCTCCGTAGACTGTTCCATTAAAGTTCTTTGTCCACAACAATAAAGTTTCCTGGTCACCCACCACCTGGCAGCAACTGGAGGTATGGCTAAGGCAGAGATTACACACTTCCTTCTAAATGTACCAATTCATACCAGTAGTTGGAACTGTGATAGGCTGAAAGAAGTCAGCTGACACTCAGCCAATCGCAGCAACCCATTGCTGCTCAGGTTAATGCTTCCTCATTAGACAAAGCAGCACAGAGTGGACAAGTTGCTGAGAACTCTTATTTAGCACTTAACCATTAATATTGGTTCAATTGTGAATGGAAGGATGATGCATGGGCGACTCCAGAGACTATAATCAATTCTATGAAATGAACAGGTTACTGTTTCACTTGAAACCACCCCAAACAAAGCTCAAGTCCGTGTCAACATTGGAAATTTTATATTGACTATCTATAATGCACATTTCCTAATAAACTTAAACGAGAGAAATCTCAATGTATCTAAATATAGAAGAATGTAAATGTTGAAACTACTTGCTAAGCTGAGGAAATACTTTAATACTGTTCCAATGTATTACACTCGATCGGACTTATGTCCATAAAGTTCATACTTTCACACATGCCTGCTTCTGATGGCAATTTAAAAATCTTCCAATTGTTTAAAGAAAAAAAAATATTCTGGGGGGTGGGGCCTGACTGACATGCTGATTGGTTGCATCTTCTGAGAGCTTTGTGGACTCAAGCATACCACAGTTCTTACTGCATCTGGTAGATTTGGCTTGAGGAGAACCGGATGCGTATTCTGTGAGAGAGGGAGGCGATCGATCACTCCACCTTTAATTTCACTGACCTCTACAGCATGTCCTCCATGTTTCTTCACCCCTGCCAGTGCAGGTTACCCTGGGACATACAGCTTTACGCAAGTGATTATCGGAACATGACTAGTGACCTGCAGTATTCCAGTCTTCTCTAAAATGGCAGACTCCCATAACAAGCTGTCCTCTGTCTGGCTAAGCTGGACATGCTGTTTATGGACTTTTGGCCCAGGTTTCAAAACAGACAGCAGGATCAGTGAGATACTTGTCTCAGTCTTATCTAATGGTATCATAATCCTAATAAGAGTTGCTGCAATAAAACCGTACCCCTGTGCGCCAGTTTTCCAAATTAAAAGGTGAAGTCATAGGCAAAATTAGATTAGATGTCCATTTTAAAGTTGTAAATTTGACAGTGATTTTATGGGTCATCACCTTTTATATATATTTTTTTTTTCCACACACAAGTTCCAGTTTGACGGGACATTTCATGATCCTGGTATGAGTCGGTGTAATAAAGCCTCAATATTTTTACTATGCATTGTTTCGCCAACAGTTTCATCCCATGTATTGGTTTTCCAGGTTTATTGGCAAATCACAAAGTATCCAATGCCCTTGTAAATTTGAGAATTATTTTCTATGCCATATGGCAACCCAGGAAAGAAAATTACCTCCATATATAGGCATCCAGGTTATACCAAATTGTGCCATCTTGAGTTGTCTGGTCTTTATCACAAATATATGCCCCATTTACTGGTCACTTTTTTTTTTTTTTCCTCCCTTTCTCTTCACACATGAACTCCATTTTTACAGGAAATTGTATAATTCCAATATGTGTAAGTGCAATAAAGCTTATATTATTTTACCAATGCTTCATGAATATAACCGTGCCCCTATGTATGTGGAGTAAATTTACGGCAAAATAGATTAGATGCACTTTTCAACAAAGTGATTTTTGAGTGTTTGTTTGGTGTAGCCACTTTACATATGGCTGGGCTTAGTGTAAACTGGGACAAGCCAAGTTTCTCCCCCCCATTTGTATTTTATTGAGTACAGGAGGCTAAGTAGAGTCGACCTTAACATACGTTTATATCAGACATACAGTTTTGGATTCCATGGAGTTAGGAGGGTTGTTTCACATCAGCCATTAAGGAAATCACAATAGATTGTTAGGTGCAATTCGGTTGGTTAGATGGACAAGCACGATATGAAGACATTGTATTGACATTTCAAGTATGTAAATATATGTTCTATTGGGTGTTATCCTGCAGTTCCCTCAGGTTGGTAAAGCTTTGTTTTCAACAGCAGCTTCTCTCATTGAGTCCATAGGCCTTCAAAAGTGGCTTTTTGTTTTATGGTGACTATAGCCATTCTTTCATAGATATAGTTTAGGTTAACCCCTTAAGGACACATTATGGGAATATTCCGTCATGATTCCCTTTTATTTCAGAAATTGTGTCCTTAAGGGGTTTATAATCTCTACTAGCTCTGACATAGTAGGCCATTTATCACTCTTCCAGTTCAGGGCAAAAAGGTGTTTCGCTGCTAGGCAGAGGTGAGCTATCAGGGCTTTACTTAAAATGAGGTCTCCTTTGGAAATAGGAGCCATAGGGATAAATCTAAAGAGCGTGTGCTCAGTCAGTTCAAGCCATTGATTTCCATAGAGGATTAACTCCACCAGATATGTGATAGCACACACACCTCTGAGAGGCATCTCCAACTATTTGGATTTGTGACTGGTAAAATCTTGTGGAGATGCGTAGGTGGAAAATACCATCGATATATTGGTTTACGATGGGCCTCTTTGTGGTTGTAAAAAGTGGTTACACCGTGTAAATCATTAATTGCTTGGAGTCATTCTTCTACCGTGTGTGTGACTCCCATCTCCCACCCCAACATACAAGGATGTTTTTCTGCAGTAAAGCAGACCTGTAACGCCAAGTAACATTTAGAGAGGAGTTTGATGTTGTTGGTGCTATCCTGTATGTGGATCGGACTAGTTTTAACATAAAATGAAGAAATTGGTATGGCTTCTCTATGGCTGCTTTATGTATAGAGGACATGGGAATTGAACATTGCAACCTGGCTTAAATAGACTGCAAATTTCTTCTACTAGGCCAGGGTTAGGCAACCTTCGGCACTGCAGATGTTTTGGACCTCACCTCCCATGATGCTTTGCCAGCATTGTGGGAGATGTAGTCCACAACATCTGGAGTGCCAAAGGTTGCCTAACCCTGTTCTAGGACTTAGTTTTTATCAGTTCACCAGATAAGGCTGTATACGTTGATCAGCCAAGTTTATTCACCCCATATAACTTGCTGTAGTCTACAAGTCACTTCAGTTTTTCCAGCTGCTCAGTTCTACCTCTCATAGACACTGGCACTGTGCTTTCGTCGTGCATTGTAGACATCATGTATACATATTTCTTATCTGTAAACCAAAGGGCCATCATCTCATTCTGACGTGGAGCTAAAGAGGAGCCTCTACTGCTTCTGTCACTTGTCAGTGTTTGGGAGAAACCTCTATTTATATTACAGACTGTGCCACATGCTAGGGTTTTGAAATACATTTTGAAATCAATCAATACTGGTATAAAACATTTCAACCCATAGACGATAAACCTTATTTAACAAAGGAAAGATTACATCATACACAATCATGCCATTTGTGCGCACAGAATCAGTGCATCTCCGTGGAGCAAGATGGCTATCCTTCCATTGATAAATCCCTTTTATATCCTTGATACGCCCATGTATAGCCAGTGCAGGATTCACAGAATTTATAGAATTTGATGCCATATCGTGACAGCATCGATGGGATATATTGTTTGAAAAGCTGTCTACCTTTAAAAAAATTCATAATGGATTTGTCAAAATGTTTTGGTCTGGGATATAATTTTGGAAAAACTTGTTACCCAGGAAATAAAAATTTTGGAGAGCTTGTCAAACAATAGGTTGTTTCTAGGGGGACACAGTGTAGTTAAAATAGAGGAATTGCAGCATTTACTCATAGCGATCCCTGTGATACTTGGCTTTTTCACAGTACCCATTACTAGGTTTAGTGCCGAAAATGTTTTCATTTCTGCGACATAAGTGGGGAATGTGACCCCTGGTTCACAGACAGATACTGACTGGCATTCAAAATGGTTTTGTAAGTTGTATGAATTGGCCCCAGCAGCACCCTTGTGATGTACTGCATGTTCAGATGAGTGCAGCCCTCTTGGTTTCATACATATATACTTATAATAGTAATTTTATATTCTTCTTATAATATAACCCACATGCAATAATATTCATGTATAAATGAAGATACTGCAGGGGGTGTATTGAGGAAATTGGCCTTGGGTCAGCAAAGAGGGTACATCTGACCCTGGCTGCAGGTGTACTGCCTGGGTTTCCAGACATAACCCCAGATGGCGATCCGCATGCTGGCCGGATGGAGGGCTAGATTGTTGGGGTATGCTATGCCAACTTAATGGCATTAAAGACCTCCTACTGTATGGTGGCATAGCACGTACTAATGGGGCTATAGAATTCTGGGAGCCTGATGCACAAGACAGTGGCAGAGCGGGTATTTGTGGGTATTTTATTTCCCAGAATACTTAGCTGGCCGTGCATAATAGGAAATGCAGCTGAGATATATGAAGATTAAACATTAGCTAGCAGAGGACATTGGATTTAATTTATGAAATCGTGAGAGCATTAACCCGACTCATGGCCACTCAGACGCTTCATCCTCTCACAAAGCCTGGACAAAAAAGAAAAACTGCTTTCGTTTCTGCTATTTTGGCCTAAGATCAGAATTTCACTTTCAGCTCAAGACAATTCGCATTTTAGTTGCATAGCCCTGGCTGTATTCAGCTCAGCCTTAGTCTAAATAGGTCAGTATGTTACGAAGGAATTAGAAATGGCAAAGACAAACACGAACATTAAGTAGATTCATTCACAAATTACCGAATTGTAGTGAATCGCAAAAGGAATTTCAAAATTCAGACTAAAATAGCTGATTTATATACATTCATCGCTTGTCTGTTTTAGCCTGAATTTTGGGGGCTGATTTCCAATTCACTACAATTTGGTGTTTAGTAAAAAAAAAAAACATTCATAAGATGGCATTTTTACAAATCATCTCTTTTTGTCTAAATGTTATAGTTTGGTTTTCAATTCGCTGCGTTTCAGTATGGACTAAATGAACCCCAGTGGGTGCTGAATATGTTAACATCTCTGGTTTGAAACCAAACTAGCATATAAATTATGGTCCAGTGAAGCATTAAAGGAACAAGTCACTTAAATATATTGAGACCAGTGATGATGTAGTTCTAGTCTCTCTGTAAACTGACTTGTTACAAATGATACATTACTGTGTGAACTCACCATGAAATTGCCACTGTTTGCAAGGTCCCAGTTTTCCAACGCTACAGAGGGCTGCTTATCTGCTACATTTAAGGGACATTCTAGTGAATTTTTGCAACTTTTTTTTCTCTCAATTTTTAATGTATTTCCTGAATTACACAATTATAATTTTAAAAAGCATTTAAAATAAAGATACAGAAAAAAAGTACCTTTGTAGGCTGCCTTCAGCAATTTACACCTGAAATATAAACATTTCAGCCAAACAGATTTTTGACTGCTAAAAATGGGAGCGATCTGTCTCCTTTTCAAATACTTATATAAACTTAAAATATAAGTTTAAAAAAAAAAATGTTTTACATTCTTTATTTTTGAAGTGCATGGAAATATAACAAGTTAGCTCGCAAAGCCCAACAGCATTTGCAATTATACGAGAAAACATAGTATAACAGTTGGTCAGCATGTGAGAATACAGCACAATTTTTATATAATATCGTATTCAGATTAAGTATTCATGTCTAAACGATCGATAAAAAATAAACTTGTTTAGCAGGAACTTTTCGAGACATGCAGAAATTAAGTAGCTGTACACCCTAGAGACCCCCAGGTCTCATGTACCAGGCATCACATGTTTACTATTCTCCTCCGAATTAGGCTGCAGACATTTTAAATCAAATGCAAGACAAAAAACAAAGCAAATGTTAACTTTTTGTGGAGATATTGGGGGGGGGAGGGGAGGGAGGGAGTAATGCCAGCAGGAGTCCTAGTCCAGGTCATATTATAGATTAAAATTACCCAGGTAGCCATCTGGAATAAAGGCCCAGCCCAGGCATAGACCGCAGGAGCTTCAGGGCAGTCACTTGAAAGGACCGCTTCAGTAGCCAATCCATCTGGGAATGTTGCGCTTGTTTGGGCGCATCCACCCTGTTTGTGTGTGCCATGGTCTGGGCCTTCTCTGAAGGTGCAGTGAAGATCCGCAGATTAGTTGGCTTTTAAGCCCATGAGGGACATCACTTTGTTGGTGCCTACCGGCTCTGCTCTCCAGGCGCCTCCAAAAGTCATTGAATAGAATGGTGAGCCGGGCTTCAAAGTCAAGCTGTGCCACTCTAAGGTCAGCAAGACACGCGGTCCCCGCCATGTTAGGTAAGTTAGGTAAGCGGAGAGACTCTGCTCCAGAGTCTCTCCGCTTGGATGACCACGTCCCTCTGACCTGCTGGGTCAGAGCTGCCACTCGGTTGTGGACCAGGATCACCCCCATCGGTCCGAGGGGGGGGTGGGGCTCTTGCAAGAAAGGTGCTTCTTAGCACCACGGAGTCAGGAGGTTGGCTGCCTCTCCTGCATGGAACGCACTAGGCCGCAGCAGCCACAATGGGGTAAACAGGCTTTTAATACGTCGCCGGTCACTTCTTGGCTTGTCAGGTAGGTCAGGATGCCAGTCACCCTCTCAGCTCGGGTTGCTGTGAGCCAGAGAGGCCCCCAATACAGTCGTTTTTATCAGGATGGTGGAGGAGCTCTTTGGAAAAGCGTCTCTCCACCATTACAGTCAGGTGCCACCCGCCCAAAATATAACACGTTGCTTTATATGATTATAGATCCTGAAACATGGTTTTATTTTACCAATATTTTTATACAGTGTATAAATATTTTTTATACAGTGTAGTTAAAAAAAACCCAAAAGCAATGGTTTTCCAAACCCTGCTATCTGCATTGTCGACTGTATTTAGGAGCTGGCTGTGTACGCTTTGACAATAATTTTTCACTCATTGAAGCCAATTGTGTAACCAATATACATTCACTTGCATACCTCCCAAATTTAGGAGTTATGAAAGCAAAAGGAGATGGGGTGGTATGCCTGTGACACATGGCAGTAAGTGAATCCAAAAATACAGCCAATCAGACGGGCACTTTGGCAGAACTGGCCTGTAACGGTCAACTAGGACCACATTTAATGAATACTCTAAGCAACAAAATCACTGCATATTAATGTAGTGGTTTTATTACATAAACCCTGTCCATTTTTGCTGGCAGAGTAAAACTCTGCTATTTCCAAGAAGCAGCAGCTGGTAAAAATTTTCCAAAAACACTCCTCTACTGGCAATTCTTCTTTAAGGCCTTTGAAAGTCTTCAAGTAGAGAAGCATTCAATTGGCAGAGCAATTGCTTATCATATGCTCGGTGAGAAGCATTGTATTGAAATAATATGACAGGCTGCTACGAGGTTAATATCTCTGTGCCATGTTAGTTATAAACTTTTATGTTTTTTTTCCTTTAAATTAGGGTCCCTGAATCTAACGATAGCAAGGAACACATTTAACTACAAAAATGTATTTTTTTAAACTGTATCTTTAGAAGATTTTTTTTTTAAATTGAGGACCTTCTCTGGTGTCTCCCGAAAATTGAATTGTTCCTCCAGACCTAGGGCTGTTGGAATGTGTTTAACGAATGCACCTGTGATCGATTACAAACAAGTAAGTGCAAATTGATTATGTGCTAATATTGCTGTCTGTACTGGGTACACCACCCCTTCTGATAAACCAAACCTGTTTAAGGAGAATCAGAGAAGTAGATGGAGTAAAGGTAACGTAAAAAACAAAATCCTGCATAAATATATATAATGTATTTTGTCTCTATTGTCATGTGCTAGTAACAACAGTGCTTCGAATGTCCCTTTAAATCTTAACGCTCTTACGGTAACAGATTTAAATGCCTACTGTGCTGCAAGCAGACACTATGAATCAATTTGAAAAACAGTACAAATACATTTACATAGAAATATCTATTTTATTTATTCGTCAGTTAGCACAATGCACGGGTTCACATTTTGTTCCTGTAGATCGGGACTTTGTATTCTGTAGCTTGTGAAACGTTATTGAAATAAAAATGTTGTTCAGAGTAAATCTGAATTATTATTATCACGCATTTATAACATTACATTATATTCCTCAGTTTAGTACAATTGGAGGAATACAGACAGAGATATTAAGAGAATTTTAAATTACGGGCCAAAGCGGACAAACTTAAAAACAGGTGACTTGAAGAATTTTTCCACTGTTGCTGTTTGGTCTAAAATTCAAAGTTTACTTTGGATCTACAAAATGTAACACTTTAGTGCAGGGATGCCCCAAAGGTAGATCCTCAGGTGTTTTAAAACTACAGCTTCCATGATGCTTTGTCATTTAAAGGCATTGTGTGAGTTGTAGTTCTACAGCATCTGGGGATTCACCTTTTGGGCACCCCTGTTTTTTCGTGAATAACCCTGACTCAATACAATAGGGAAAGAGGATCCGATCTGTAAAATAATATACTAGAATTTACAGCGCAAGATATTTGCGTTGTTGTGATGCCGTATTTATGCTCTCGCTGTTATGTAAATAAGCTGTGAATATTTTCTGATCTATTAGTTTAGCCGGTGTAACTTTTACCGCAATTAATTGTAGTTATATGATAAAAATCTACATCAACTAAAATAACGGAGATAGCTAGATCCTTATACATCTTAATTCGTTTGGGGATAGATTAACCAGTGAATTACAGAGGGGCTTCTCATAAACGCCTTTAAAGGGTTTTTACATTGCGTGATTAAAACTTACATCATAAACCGCAAAGAGCAGAGTGTCCCTATGATGTCACCTTTTTAAATTCACACTTACATATATTTAGCTTTGTATCTCGCCTCTGCCATTAATAAGTGCACTGTAGGGAGATTATTCCATTATGGATGTAAGAGTGTTTCTCGGGGCTGGTCCAAGTAATTTATGGAATGTTACCATGTATTAGAGCCTTTAAAAAAATTCTGTTTAATTTAGAACAATATATTTTATGGAACTATTGTGTGCACCCGCGTATTTTTTATTTTTTTTCTTCTGCTCCCACAAAACAATCACCCAAACAATGTTCATATATATGGACCTGTTATAATTCAAATGTATATTTATCATGTCCAAGGTCAGAGTTAATTTAAAAAATGCATTTTGTTTTGTTCTGTGTTGTTTTTTTTTAACTACCATAATGTTAGATATCGGAAATCCATTTAAACTCTATACTTAGGCCTCATTTTGACTCATATCTACATCCATTATTAAGAATCGCTGACTGATATTTGAATTTGAAGTGTATACAAACTGCATAGGATATAAGGTCTACAGTGGACAGGTGGGGAGGGCCTGTGGGCAGCAAGAAGAATGGACACTCAGACTGACAGAGAGTGAGTTGCTGAGACAGGATTTAATGCTGAGTATCGGGATGGGAATTCAAAGTGGAGAATTACAGAAAGCATTTGCTTCTAATTCATCTTTTAAGCTCTGTGCCAGAATCACATTTGGCATGGTTCAGTAGGAGTAATTGAGCTGTAATGAACTCTGAGGTGTCCCATAATTGAAGACTGAGTATTGTAAACTGTGCCAAAAATCATAAATGCTTAAGAATTTGCGGGCGGATGCAATCTCTTAAATATATCTGTAAGTACATCTTAGCAATGTTCCCTTGTGGTATTCCCATACTATGAATTATAGAAATCCCTCATTAGGACTCATGCTTTTATCAAGAGTGGGGCGGGAGCAAAATATTAGTAAGACTCACTATGCCTTACTTTTATACTCATACAGCTATTAGAATGGCACTTGGGCGCCTAACTGGCGCGTCCATTACCTGCTATTTGCAGCCATTGTGCTGTCTGGAAGGGGAGCAGAGTCATCACAAAGGACTGACACCAATAGATCTGCAAAGTGTGGCATGCTATATAATCGTTAGAGGCTTTTTTTTTCCCCTTAATTTTCTTCTTACCGACCGTATATTGTTTGTAATGGAGTGGAGATAAATTATGTTCTTTCCTTTCTGAATCTCTAATCAGAGAGTGGAGAAAGGCAAACGGTCGTATTTCAACAACGCCCAACATTTTCGAGATAGAGAAGAGGGTTCATGTTCATTACTGCAAGGTCCTGAGGTCACAAATTATTTTCAAGAATGTTCTTTCTCCCCATTCATAAAAGTCATCTACTCCAATCTAGTCTTTGTGGACATCTAATAAATGAGTTGAGTTGTGTTGACCAAGGTATAAAGGTCTGAGAACAAGTATAAATTGCTCGGCTTGTTATAACCGGTAACAGTTGTAATATCTGTGTACGACAGCATGCTGCACTGTCACCTTATTACCTATGGGGTCCAAGCTGGGTTTAATTTGACGTGTGGAAATCCTCTTGGAATCCAATTAATGGGGCGCTTGTGATCTGTGCATAGTGAAGCTCTTCCCTTAATCCAGACCATGCTGTGTTGCAGGTGCTACTTTCCTAGCGAGATTATCTTGTCCCTTCCTTTTGTCCTCTGTGTCACTCACTTGTCAGAGACTCTGCTGGACGCACCGGGATCGGCAGGGATTCTTGTTTCCCCCTTTTACTCAGGGATATTAAGCAGCTTTGCACAAGACATGTTACAAGCAGTGGCTGGGCCCTCGTAACAGTCTTCTCATCTAGACAATAAACTCAGTGTGTAAGGAATGGTACTGGAAACAAACATTGATGTAATAGGCACATCACTAGAGACGCCCAGGTAATCTCTATTCAGTTTGACCTTATATCATTACAGAACAGATTCAGTATTCGTGATGGCTATTCAGGTACAATAAGACTGGCATTATCTGACCCTGGCTTGAATATCCACTATATCATCAGAGAAGGACTAACATCCCACAGGGTTCTAGGTTGGATATCGATTTGGGGCCAGCCATTCATTCTTCATATAAAGATAGTGAATGAGGCCAAGTAAGTTACTTGTTCTGGGATGGCTGTCTAACCCCTGGGCCATAGGCAGCTGTCTAAGGTCATCTATGGTTAAGTATGCTCTATATACCATCAAATGCCGGGAGTTCAAAGTGAATTTCAAATATTATGTGAAAGAGCCAAACAGAAAACATATAGCTGACTTGGAGAATTGTTCCAAATTAGTTATTTCTGACAATTCATATAAAATAGAAATGCCTCTCTGGGTTTGCTAAGACATTAAAACACAACACATTAGGCATCAATTAGCTGATAGAAACTGGCAATCACTGACAGGGTTATTAAATAAAAGTGCTAATTCTCTGTAATACAAAGCAAATTTGAAGCAAAGTTAAAATTTTAGGCTGAAGCACCTTAATTAGAAAATATCTCCAAGTCAGTTATTTGTTGAGTTTGGCTATTTTTGATTAAAACTTTAAAATTCACTTTGAGCTCCTGACAATTCATACTTTAGTAAATAGTCACGTTTCTTTTCTTTTTTTTTCTTTTTTTTACACAAAACCCGAATATGTTCAATGGATTCCCATTGGTCATGATGACCTCACAGTTCTCAAGTCAATGAACAGTAGCTTTGGCATCGTTGCTTGCAGTTGCATGAGGGCAACATTTTTGTGTGTCTAAATATTAGAAACTGGATTTAAAGAGATTCCATAATGAAAACATTTCTACATTGAGATTTATTCAAGAGCAAATTGTAGTGAATTGAAAACCGAATTGTAAAACAGAGGATAAGCTAGCCAGGTCATGTTGGAGAATTTTTTTAAATCTGTTCTTTCAGGTTACATTTTGCTATTTGGTGCTCAATCCACTACAATATTAAGTGAATACTCCTGTGGCCAGCAGATGGTCATTACAGGGAAATTACTAAGCTCTTAACCTATATTTAAGGCTGTAATGTTCACCATGTTTCCTACACCTAGACAGTCAGTTACTCACACATACTATTAAACAGTACATGGTACAAGTACTGCCTTGTAATATAGAGCAGTGTTTCACAAACCAGTCCTCGTGGCCCCGCAACCATCCAGGATTTATGTATTTCCTTTTTCTTTTACAATGGAGATACTGAACAAACCTGGACTGGGTCATGAGGACTGGTTTGAGAACCACTGATGTAGGGCATTCATGCACAGGGAGGAAATGCCGTTCCATTG